AGGTATTGAAATGGTTGTCAACAATTCAGACCTTGTTGCATATTTGGTGGCAGCAATTATACTCTGGGAACTGGCATGGTGCCTCTTTCGACGGCTGTATAAATGGCTGTGGATAAAGAAAGCGGTGGTTATTCCTGCGAGTGCCACTTTGTATACAACAGTGGGTGGGAACTGTATGCACGCAAGCAGTGATTGTGATGTTCTGCGATATTCACAGCTCAGAGCTAAGACGCTTTGTAAGCATTGCCTCAAGGATGGCTGGGTGGTGAATGCTGAGTTCCTTGGTGAGGAACGGGCCGCTGGAACGTGAATTTTCCAAGTGCGAGGTGAAGAAATCCTCAATGGTAAAGGATTCAGCCAATGAGCTGAAGGTTCGTCCTGGATGACGTTAAACCATAATGTGCATTTCAAGCAGCTGGCTGCTGCCTAAATGGCGGTTTTTGGCCAAAGATCTGCACCTCCAATGTGTCCTAGGAAATCCTAGGACAGGGGGAGTGCGGAGCTGCAATTGGTATTGTAGAAAGGAGTTGGTATTGGAAGTTGAAGGGTCAATGAACCCGGTAATCTTTGGCTCAAGGCTCAAGCCATGACCAAAGCGGTCAAAGGTTTCGTAAAAAGTGTACCCTTGGTTTGGGGTCTTGCTGTTCGGTTGTTGGTTGTTCCAGGGGTAATAAGGGCTTCTGTTGGGGTTGACTGTCTTGTTCCCTGTCCTCCTTCGGTTGCCCTCCGTACCTATACCTAAACTCTCAACCCTGAACCAAGGCGGGTATGCAGCAAAGCAGGGCAGGGGTGGTTGTAAGAGAGCCTGAGCCCTAAACCCTAAACCCTAAACCCTAAACCCTAAACCCTAAACCCTAAACCCTAAACCCTAAACCCTAAACCCTAAACCCTAAACCCTAAATCCTAAATCCTAAGCCCTAAACCCTCAGCCCTAAGCCCTAAACCCTAAACCCGAAACCCTAACCCGAAACCCGAAAGCCTAAACCCTAAACCCTAATCCCTGTGGCATCTGGGAACCGAAGCCGGCTTGACGAATTAGGACTTAGGTTTTAGGGTTTGATCCTAAACCTTGAGCCCTAAAGCCTAAAGCCTAAAGCCTAAAGCCTAAAGCCTAAAGCCTAAAGCCTAAAGCCTAAAGCCTAAAGCCTAAAGCCTAAAGCCTAAAGCCTAAAGCCTAAACCCTAAACCCTAAGCCCTAAGCCCTAAACCTGGGTGATGGTGCCGGCTCCTTCCCACCCGCAGCAATAGCATGTCCAGTATCGAGCCTTGTCCTTTTCTAGGGGACGGTTGGTCTGTGGGCCCCACCAACCCAAGAATTGGGTTCAGGGTTTAGGGTTTAGGGTTGCTTAGGGCTTCCTAGACAATCTATAACGGAGCCTCACCCGATCACGCCGCAGGCTCTCAACTAGCCCCCCACCCCGAACCAGTTTACTGTGCGAACACAGGGGCCTACATCATCACCAACGAATATCCCCTCATACCCCTGGAGAATTCCAACACTCTTCCCCTATCAGTAGCCCCTATAACAATACGCCATTATCCCCAGAAAATTCCTGTAGAAGACCCAACACCTCACCAAAGCACGATCAGCACTTGCTTGTGCTGTCTTCGTTGGAGCAAGATGGCTTTCGTCGCAAGCGCTGGCATGTGTTCGGGCATAAGTCCAGGAGCCTTCGTTTAGGGTTTAGGGTTTAGGGTTTAGGGTTTAGAGTTAAGGGTTTCGGGTTTCCGGCTGGCTTCGGGGGGCATGAAGTTTAGGGTCTCTTCTGGGTGGTGGTCATTTGCCGGTGGGGATGAGGGTTTAGGGTTTAGGGTTTAGGGTTTAGGGTTTCGGGTTCCACGTAAGCTGTGTCCATTGATATATGCAACGTTTAGACGTCAAAGGTTTCAGGGTTTTCAAGGTTGCCAGGTTTTCGGGTTTAGGGTCCCAAGCAACAAGCCCTTGAGCACCTAAACCCCTAAAGCCCTAAACCCTAATCCTTAAACCTTAAGCCCCTAGCCCTAAACCCAAACCCCAAACCCTTAAGCCCCTAAACCCTTAAGCCCCTGAACCCCCAAAGCCCAAACCCTAACCCTTCAAGCCCTAAACCTTAGATCCTAAACCCTCAGCCCCAAAACCCTAAACCCAAAACCTTCAAGCCCTAAACCCCAAATCCCTAAACCCCAAACCCCAAACCCCAAACCCTAAACCCCAAACCCTAAATCCCTAAACCCTGAATCCCTAAACCCTACATCCCTAAACCAAAAGCCAGGACCGGGAGTAGGCCCTTATTTCCTGTTTTCAGGGTTGGGGTTCCCTTATAATCCCCTTAACTACAAAAAGGGGACACGTTTGATACCCTAAACCCTAAACCCTAAACCCTAAGCCCTAAGCCCTAAGCCCTAAACCCTAAACCCTAAACCCTAAACCCTAAACCCTAAACCCTAAACCCTAAACCCTAAACCCTAAACCCTAAACCCTAAACCCTAAACCCTAAACCCTACTAAACCCTAAACCCTAAACCCTAAACCCTAAACCCTAAACCCTAAACCCTAAACCCTAAAACCCATAAACCCTAAACCCTAAACCCTAAACCCTAAACCCTAAACCCTAAACCCTAAACCCTAAACCCTAAACCCTGAACCCTGAATCCCTAAACCTAAACCCTAAACCCAAAAGCCAGGTCGGGGCCATCCCACATGGCTCGCACGTCGTCCTCCGAGACTCCGAGGGGTCCCAGAAGGCCTCGGCTTTCGTGGGCGTTTTGCAGGGTTTAGGGGTATGTAGGGGTTTAGGGTTTAGGGTTTAGGGTTTTAGGTGTAGGGTTTAGGGTTCAGGGCTAGGGTTTAGGGGTTTAGGGGTTTAGGGTTTGAGGGTTTTAGGGTTTAGGGTTTAGGGGTTTAGGGGTTGAAGGGTTTAGGGGCTTAGGGGTTTAGGGTTAGGGTTTAGGGGTTTAGGCTTAGGTTTTAGGGGTTTTGTGCTTAGGGTTTAGGGGTTTGGGGTTTAGGGTGTAGGGGTTTAGAGTGTAGGGTTTAGGCTTCAGGGAATAGGATTTGTCATGTTTTTCTGTTTCGATGATGTTTAGTTGTTCTTTAAAGGGCCATTGCTAGCAGCGTTTTGGTATTGTGATTGTTTAGGTTGTAGGTTTGAGGGGCTAGGGTTTGAGCTTTAGTTACGGGGTCTAGACTTTCAGATTCTTGTGTCACGATGACTTGGTGCGGTTTACCCTAAACCCTAAACCCTAAACCCTAAGCCCTAAGCCCTAAACCCTAAACCCTAAGCCCTAAAGCCTAAGCCCTCGGGCTTATGGTCTAGGATGCTCGCAGGTGTCTGTGTACTTTATTTACACTTTTATAAGAAGTAGGGTTCTCTGCACCTGAATCACGGCTAAGGTACGTCGTATATCTACCATACTCCGCAGCACCACGTACCCATGACTCTTCCAAGAAGGTCTTCTTCCTTGGCAACAGCTGCCAGGAGCCCCTGTCAGGGTTTGGATTCCCTGTGACGCGGCCGATGCGTTTGGTAGGTTAGCCCAGGGGAATATATTACTATTTGCTTAAGAACCCCAGAAGAATAAAACAGAAGTAATCCCTATATTACCCTTACTAAGGAAGAATATGTTTATATATTTTTTGGGTTCTTAAGCAACTAGTAGAATAGGGAAGGAAACCTAGACAACCACCTGGTAGGATCCCTAGCATTGAAGCCTGGCGTTCTTAAGCATCTTTTGTGTGGTTTTGTCCACGGCTTTTACCGGGCAGCTTGTTCAAACAAAAAGGAACCCCTCACCGGTAACAGAGGGGTCGGAATCATTACTCATAGCATTCCCTTATGGTCCCCTGATATTCATACTCTAATAACCCCCATAACCCTAGTCCAATGAGTAAGGCCCCTATAGTGGCTTCCGTGTTAGGTTTCACTTTGAGACGGCTCCAAGGAAGGCTTCCTGGTTTTAGCGCAGCCTGTTCAAATGAGAGAATCCCCAAACCCTAACCCCTAAACCCTAAACCCTAAACCCTAAACCCTAAACCCTAAACCCTAAACCCTAAACCCTAAACCCTAAACCCTAAACCCTAAACCCTAAGCCCTAAGCCCTAAGCCCTAAGCCCTAAGCCCTAAGCCCTAAGCCCTAAGCCTTAAGCCCTAGCCCTAACCCCTAAACCCTAAACCCTAAACCCTAAACCCTAAACCCTAAACCCCAGACCCTAGACCCTAGACCCTAGACCCTAAACCCTAAACCCTAAACCCCCTTGAGCTCTGAGACGAACTTCCCAGTTCTCCGTAGGGAATGAGCGAACTAAGCACCTCATGTCCTCCTAGAGTGCCCCTTTAAAGAATTCTAGAGGCTACCGAACTAACCTAAACCCTAAACCCTAAACCCTAAACCCTAAACCCTAAACCCTAAACCCTAAACCCTAAACCCTAAACCCTAAACCCTAAACCCTAAACCCTAAACAATAAACCCTAAACCCTAAACCCTAAACCCTAAACCCTAAACCCTAAACCCTAAACCCTAAACCCTAAACCCTAAACCCTAAACCCTAAACCCTAAACCAGCCCTAAATCCAAGATTTTTGCAACTCTGAGACCTTGAGCGTACCAAAGCGGGGCCTGTGACCTAGATCAACGCTGGCAGGAGCTGCGTATGGGCAAGCCTCTCGCCTGATCAAGGGGTTAGGGGTTAGGGGTTAGGGGTTAGGGTTTAGGGGTTAGGGTTTAGGGGTTTAGGGTTTAGGGGTTAGGGTTTAGGGGTTAGGGGTTAGGGTTTAGGGGTTAGGGTTTAGGGGTTTAGGGTTTAGAGGTTTGGAGTTTAGGGTTTTAGGGTTGAGGGGTTTAGGGTTTAGGGCTTCGTTTAGGGTACCCAGAAAGTTGTGCAGTGGAAGGGGCCCCCTTTCTCCACGAGGCTCCCCAAGCCCAAAGGTTCTCAACCTTCGGTGTGCAATGTACAACCTCTTACCCAGACTCATCAAACGGAAACCGTGGCGTTTGTTTGCAGATCACTGGCTCCAATCCAGCAATGATTTGCAAACAGGCGCAGCGTCGACATCCGTTCTGCTTCGGAAGGGTTTGGGATTTGGAGTTTTGGGTCTTTGGTGCGGTGCTTTGATGTATACGGATTGCACATCAAAAAGGAGACACAAAAAGGGTCCATAGCTTACGTCAACACTCCCATGCAGGTTTGCCGCCGGCGTAGCATGCACGGGGCGGGGCGGGAGATGCAGAAGTCCGAATAACGGAGGTTTCAGGAATTGTTTCTGCCCAGGGGCTTTAGCCCTAAACCCAGGTCCTAGACCCTAGACCCTAAACCCTAAACCCTAGACCCTAGACCCTAAACCCAAAACCCTAGACCCTAAACCCTAAACCCTAGTGCAAGGTATCCCGCCATCCCGGTGGATCGGATACTGGGAGCGCCCTATGGGGCCGTGCTCAGGCGCAGGGAGGGGACTTTATGACCTTGGGGATATAGATCCTCTCAATAAGGTCCCTGTTTAAGAGAGCCAAGAAGAGGGTTCAGAAGGGCTCCCCTTAGAGCCTTTAAGGGTCCCCCCCTAGTCCTAGGGTGTTTTTGGCGAACCTTGGGGGGTTCTAGCGTTCAGGGGATTTGGGATTTGGGGTTTAGGGTTTAGAACCTAAACCCTAAACCCTAAATCCCCCAAAACCTTTAGGTTTTTGGGCCCTCAGAGTTACTTACCACTGAATCTTTAGGTAGGCCTTTGTGCGTTTTGGGTTCAACAAAGGTCTTGGGTTCAAAAGGCTTCGGCTAGGGGATGGCCGGGGTCTTCTAATTGTAGGTTCAGGGTTTAGGGTTTAGGGTTTAGGGTTTAGGGTTTAGGGTTTAGGGTTTAGGGTTTAGGGTTTGGGTTTGGGGTTTAGGGTTGGCCTGTGATGCTAAGGGGCTAGGGCTCAAGGTTGAGACCTTTTCTGCGGCAGAAGCAGAATTGATTGAAGCGATCAACACTGTTCAGCTGATGCAGGGGCGGTGCTGCGCTTTAGGGTTTAGGGTTTAGGGTTTAGGGTTTAGGGTTTAGAGTTTAGGGTTGGCCTGTGAGAGAGCTTCACGCTGAACCCCCGAAGCATGTGTTGCGTGTGGACAACGCAGCAGCGATCGGTTTGGCGCGAGAAGCGCCAGGCTCGTGGAAGACGAGGCATTTGCGCATCAGGGCTGCCCACCTACAGGACGCAGTCCGACTTCGCCAGCTTCGTATTGCACACATTGCCGGCACCTACCAGCTGGCGGACCTGGGAACTCAAGCGTTTGATCGAAATCGTCTTCGACTTCTTGTGGACCTTTGGGGGCTTCGCAGCTCTCCGGAAAATGCCGATGAGGAGGAGAGCGATCCACTGAGCACAGCGCTGAGGTGTTAGCTCGGCTAGTGGTTGTGTTGGGGTGGCTGGTGGGTAGGTCTAGGGCTGCCAAGTCGAGGATGCTGAACAAGGGCCGATGCTGCCACGAAGACAGCCCTAAACCCTAGACCCTAAACACTAAACCCTAAACCTTACACCCTAAACCCTAAACCCTAAACCGATGCTGGGCGAAACGTTGAGCAGCCGGCGCGGGCCGCCAGCCGAAAGACTTTTCTGCGAAGTTCTGCCATCCGGTGCAAGGTTGTCCTGGCCCCAGCTTTGGGTTCACGGTTTAGGGTTTAGGGTTTAGGGTGTTAGGGTTAGGGTTTAGGGTTTAGGGTTTAGGGTTTATGGTTTAGGGTTTAGGGTTTAGGTTTAGGGTGTTAGGGTGTTAGGGTGTTAGGGTGTTAGGGTGTTAGGGTGTTAGGGTGTTAGGGTGTTAGGGTGTTAGGGTGTTAGGGTGTTAGGGTGTTCGGGTGTTAGGGTGTTAGGGTGTTAGGGTGTTAGGGTGTTAGGGTGTTAGGGTGTTAGGGTGTTAGGGTGTTAGGGTGTTAGGGTGTTAGGGTGTTAGGGTGTTAGGGTGCTAGGGTGTTAGGGTGTTAGGGTGTTAGGGTGTTAGGGTGTTAGGGTGTTAGGGTGTTAGGGTTTAGGGTTTAGGGCTACCAGGACGCGCAGTACGTAGGCCCTTGTTCCCTTTTTTTAGCGTGTAGGTTCCCTTACAATCCCCTGTAACCTTTGTATTCCTAGGTTACTCCTGGGTCTAGAGGTTGTCCTGGCCTGCGCTGCTTCGCATGGAGTTGAACTTTCAACCCTAGAGTCTCACGTTTTCTGCAGCCTTAAGACCTAGACCCTGAGCAGTACCCTAAGCCCTAAACCCTAAACCCTCAACCCTAAACCCTAAACCCTAAACCCCAAACCCTAGACCCTAGGCTACCCCAAACAAGAAACCCTAAACTGTAAACCCTAAACCCTAAACACTAAACCCTAAACACTAAACCCTACAACCCAAACCCTAAACCCCTACACCCACCCTCCAGCCTTGAGTTCCCACGTCCAATCGGAGGCGGGATTTGTCGGGGGCCTGGGAGCGGAAACGTCGAGGCACGGGTAGGGGTTGTGGGTTTAGGAGGTGTAGGAGGTTTAGGAGGTTTAGGAGGTTTAGGAGGTTTAGGCGGTTTAGGAGGTTTAGGAGGTTTAGGAGGTTTAGGAGGTTTAGGAGGTTTAGGAGGCTTAGGAGGCTTAGGAGGTTTAGGAGGTTTAGGAGGTTTAGGAGGTTTAGGAGGTTTAGGAGGTTTAGGAGGTTTAGGAGGTTTAGGAGGTTTAGGAGGCTTAGGAGGCCTAGGAGGTTTAGGAGGTTTAGGAGGTTTAGGAGGTTTAGGAGGTTTAGGAGGTTTAGGAGGTTTAGGAGGTTTAGGAGGTTTAGGAGGTTTAGGAGGTTTAGGAGGTTTAGGAGGTTTAGGAGTCGGGTTTTCTTTGGGTCTAGGGTTTGGGGTTTAATTAGGGTGTTAAGGGGTTTAGGGATTTAGGGTCTTAGTTTTTTTTTTTTTTTTCGGGCTTGCGCGGTTTACGATTTGGGGATCACAAAGGTTTGGGGTTTAGGGTGTGGGTGTTGCTGGGCAGGGTGTGTTTGCAGGGTTTAGGGTCTAGGGTTTAGGGTTTAGAGTTTAGGGTCATCAGGGTTTTGAAGTTTTGGGGTAGGGTTCTGGCGCTCATACCTCGCAGTGTTAGGTCTTTGGGGGCTTGGGTTCCCTAAACCCTACACCCAAAACACTGAGCCCCAAACCCTAAAGCTTAAACGCTAAACCTGAAACCCAAAACCCTAAACCCCAAACCCCAAACCCCCAAACCCTACAGCAAAACCCCTGTATCCCTCAGTACCCGAAACTCCTACAACTGAGTAGGCAGGGCATGGCCAGAACAAACCAGTGGTCAGGAACGAAAAAAGCTGCACGTGCCCTGTCGGACCTGGAAGCAAAGTGCTTGGGCACTGGTGATGGCTCATCATGGAATGCGAAGTTGACGAGCACACCGGGTTGGATGGAAGTTGCCTGAGCTGCACAAGCAGCCTTTGTGGGAACCGAGCCCATGCACAAGTCCTACTCCATATAAACGCCCTAAGCACCCTTGAAGCAAGCAGAAGCAAGGCTGTACTTACCAAGCAAGCCTGAAAACCCCAAGGCCCAAACCTTAAGCAAAAGCCCTGAATCCCCCCCCCCCCCCCCCCCCCCCCCCCCCCCCCCCCCCCCTCCCCCCCTAAACCCTAAACCCTAAACCCTCAACCCTAAACCCTCAACCCTAAACCCTAAACCCTAAACCCTAAACCCTAAACCCTAAACCCTAAACCCTAACCCTAAACCCCAAACCCTAAACCCTAAACCCTACACCCCACGACTCCACCGCCCCTGGGTCTTTGCTGGCAAGGCACCGAGATGGCTGATGACGAGAAGCCCGAGGTCGGCTGGTGGGGTTTAGGGTTTGGGGTTTAGGGTTTAGGGTTTAGGGTTTGGCGTTTAGGGTTTAGGGTTTAGGGTTTGGGTTTGGGTTTAGGGTTTAGGGTTTAGGGTTTGGGTTTAGGGTTCAGGGTTCAGGGTGTAGGGTTTTAAGGCTTAGGGTGCAGCGTTTCGGGGTTGAGGGTTTAGGGTTCAGGGGTTTCGGGTTTGGGGTGTAGGGTTTCGGGCTTCAGGTTTAGGGGTTTAGGGGTTTAGGGTTCAGGGTTTAGGGTCCAGTGTTTAGGGTTCAGGGTTCAGGGTTCTGAGGTGCATCTCCAACTTGAGGGCTTCACGTTTCTTGCGCTATTCGGTAGGCTTAGGGCGTTTTGGGTTTAAGGGCTTAGGATTTCGGGTTCAAAATTTAGGGTTTAGGGTTTAGGGTTTAGGGTTAGGTTCAGGTGCTTTTTGAGTGGAAGGGCTAAGGATTGTCCCGGCTTCGAGGGCTTTTTCGGACTTGGGGCTTTGCGAACTCTGGGGCTTCAGGGTCTAAGGTTAGGGTTCCTCAACTCTAAACCCCAGCCTCTGAGCGCGAGCACCTTTGGTCCTAAACCCTAAACCCTGAACCCTAAACCCTAAACCCTCAACCCTAAACCCAAACCCTAAACCCTAAACCCTGAACCCTAAACCCTAAACCCTCAACCCTAAACCCAAACCCTAAACCCTAAACCCTGAACCCTAAACCTTGAACCCAAAACCCTAAAGCCTAAACCATGGCCTCTGGGTGTGAGAACCCTCGAAACCCTAAACTCGGTAGCTGCCCACATACGCCCGTTCTTCACCCTTCTGTAGCCCTGCACCCTATATCCTAAACCCTACATGGTTTTTGGGGATGGCGTAAGCATCTTCAACCATCCAGGGGTTTAGGGTTTAGGGTTTTGGGTTTAGGGTGTAGGGTCTAGGGTTTAGGGTTTAGAGTTTAGGGTCGTGCCAGGTGCAGGAGAACAACCAGCACCTGTCCCAGGACAACTCCGCCACGGGCCCAGCGACCGCAGGCTTTCCGGGCCTTCGAGGCAGGTTTGGGGTTTAGGGTTCAGGGTTTTATATAGGGTTTAGGGTTTAGGGTTTAGGGTTTAGGATTTTTGGTAATTTAGGGTTTGTTGGGGCCCCAACTCCCCAGAACCCTGAAGTTCAAATGCTCTAAACCCCCCAGACGCTCAAACAGCTGCCAAGTTTAGGGTTCAGGGTTTACGGTTCAGGGTTTAGGGTTCAGGATTTAGGGTTTAGGGTTTAGGGCTTAGGGTTAAGTTTTTTTTAATGGGTATAGGGTTCAGGGTTTAGGGTTAATCTAGGGTTTTGGTGTTATTTCGGGTTTCGGGTTCAGGGGATCTGGGTCTGCTGTGGTTTAAGGTTTCGGGGTTTCGGTTATTTTGAACACTCCGAACCCTGCAACCCCAGTTTCCCCAAGCTGCAGAACCCTCAACCCTTGCTGTGAAGCTCTGAAGCCCAAATCCTCGAATCCTACAGTCCTCAAACCTTAGAATGCTACAGGGTTGAGGGTTTTGGTTTGGGGTTTAGGGTTAAGGCCCTTAATTGGTCCCATACCTAGTTAAAGGGGTTCTGAATTATGGGCCCTTGGGTTGTATAGGGTATGTCACTGGGTTTACTTCAAGGATAACATTTTTAGGGCCCATACTAAGGGGACCATGCAACCACCCTTGGGGTTTAGGGTTTAGGGTTCAGAGTGTAAGGTTTAGGGTTTAGGGTTTGGGGTATAGGGTTTGGGGTATAGGGTTTGGGGTTTAGGGTCAAAGCTGTAGCGTCTCCGAAGTTGGCGCGAGCCCCAAGTCCTAAAGACCCTGCGCCGTTTTGTTTTTCCTCCTATTGGTTGCCTGGGAACCCTAAACCTAAACCCTAAACCCTAAACCCTAAGCCCTAAACCCTAAACCCTAAACCCTTAGCCCAGAAATAGCTGGGGTGTTGGGCAGCCTAGGCGCAGTCGCTGACGCCGGATGAGGCTAGGTTTGCGTTTCGAGGCTTACCCCCTCCCCACTCACCTCCCCCGCCCCAACCCCCAACCCCAAGGCCCCAAGGCCTCCAAGGCGCCAAGGCGCCAAGGCCCCAAGGCCCCAAGGCCCCAAGGCCCCAAGGCCCCAAGGCCCCAAGCCCCAAGCCCCAAGCCCCAAGCCCCAAGCCCCAACCCCAAACCCCCAACCCCCAACCCCCCTTGTGTCGAATGAGAATACATATGTTAAAATTCGACTTATTGGAAGGACAGGGCTGTTTTTTGTTTTAAACTCCCCACGCTGAGATAAGCTCCAAACCCTAAACCCTAAGAGGCTCATCCTCAAACCACAAACGTGTGGAGCCCCAATTTCCCCAAAGCCCCGCACCAGAAGATCCGCAATGAGGGAGTCCTTGTTTGTGATTTCCGGTTCAGGGTTTAGTGCTTCAGGGCTTCCGGGTGTAAGAATTGTACCTTAAGGGAAACAAGGAGGGGGGGTAGGGTTAAGAGTTGAGGGTTTAACACCCGACCCTAACCCTAAATCCTAAACCCTAAACCCTACACCCTAAACCCTAAACCCTAACCCCGAAAAAGGGCTGAGGGTTGAGGCTTGCTTCCCCTTTTATTTGGTTTCGATTCCCGAAACCCAACGCCCAAGACCAGGTGCGCGACCTCAAGAGATCGCGTGGGTCCCAGCCGTGAGGGGTTTCGGTTTAGGGTTTGTAGTTTGGGGCTTTATGGTTTTTGTGGTTTGGGCTTTAGGTTCCGGGTTTTGAGTTTAGGGGTTTAGGATTCGGGGTTCAGGTTTTCGGGTTTACGGAAAGCAGGGTACCGTTTAGGCCGGTCGACAACCAAGCCTTCAGAAGAAGCCCTGAAGTCCCTTACCCTCAGCCACAGCCGTAAACCCTAAACCCTAAACCCTAGACTCTAGACCCCTACAATTGAAGTCAGAGCATCCCGGCGCAGTCAAATCACTCAGAGGCCTAAAACCCTACACCGACACCTACACCCCAAACCCCAACCCCCAAACCCCACACCCTAAACCCTAAACCCTAAAACCTAAACCCTAAACCCTAAACCCTAAACCCTAAACCCTAAACCCTAAACCCTAAACCCTAAACCCTAAACCCTAAACCCTAAACCCTAAACCCTAAACCCTAAACCCTAAACCCTACACCCTAAACCCTAAACCCCAAACCCAAGGTGCGATGGCGAGGCTGTAGTGGAGGCGTTGGCGTCGCGAGCTCAGGGGGGCCAAGAGCTTCTTCGCGAGCACGTGGGGTTTGTTTAGTTTTTAGGGTTTAGGGTTTAGGGTTTAGGGTTTAGGGTTTAGGGTTTAGGGTTTAGGGTTTAGCGTTTAGGGTTGCTCAGCTTGGATGGCTGCCCGAAGGTGCAAGAGTGCGTGGCATGCACCATCAGCTCTCGCTCATGGCGTCAAGTCGATAGCTACTATTTGCTTCAGAACCCCAAAAGAATGAAAGATAATATATAATACCTCTATTACCCTTAACAAGGAAGAATACTTTCTTTTGGGGGTTCTTAAGCAATTTTGGCGATTGTCGATGGATTGTTCAGGCCGGAGACTGCTACCGTGCTGATATATTGCTACACCATGATTTAGGGACGGGGAGGGATTGTGCGTTGCCAAGGCGCGCACACTAAACCTTAAGCCTTAAGCCTCAAGCCTTCAGGCCTTAAGCCTTAAGCCTTGAGCCTTAAGCCTTAAACCTAAACACCTAAAACCTTAAACCTTAAATCTTAAACCCTTAAACCTTAAACTTTAAGTCTTAAACCCCAAGCCCTAAGCCCTAAACCGCTTTCGCCTTTCCTTGCGCCCGGGAGCTTAGGTCGAACAGCGCCACCTTTGCCTCCAAGACCAAGTTTGCGCAGGCCGACGGGTTTAGGATTTAGGGTTTAGGGTTTGGGGTTTAGGGCTTGTAGCAGAGCCCCATACTTGGAGGTTCACGGTACTTCTTGAACCAATGATAACAGTACTTGCAGTGCACTTATGAGCCCCTTAAGCCCAATGTGGTGATAAGTACCCTAAACCCTAAACCCTAAACCCTAAACCCTAAACCCTAAACCCTAAACCCTAAACCCTAAACCCTAAACCCTAAACCCTAAACCCTAAACCCTAAACCCTCTCTTACTATGTATATTTAAACCCTAATGACCTTCGTGACCATGTTGTTTTTTTTTCTGGGCCCTAAACCCTGACCTCCTTCGTGACCAAATGGTTTTTTTTCCTGGGCCGTGCCTCCAAAAACACCCCAAATGAGGGGGACCCCAGGATCGGCCCGGGTCCCAGTTCAAAATGCGATTTTTTAGTACTGAAATCGACGCTTCTGGGTGGGCTCTCGTTTTCTGGATTTTTGATCAAAACCGAGCCTTTGGGCCCTAAACCCTGACCCCCTTCGTGACCAAATGGTTTTTTTCCACCCGGGGGGGCCCTAAACCCTGACCCCCTTCGTGACCAAATGGTTTTTTTCCACCCGGGGGGGCCCTAAACCCTGACCCCCTTCGTGACCAAATGGTTTTTTTCCACCCGGGGGGCCCTAAACCCTGACCCCCTTCGTGACCAAATGGTTTTTTTCCACCCGGGGGGGCCCTAAACCCTGACCCCCTTCGTGACCAAATGGTTTTTTTCCACCCGGGGGGGGCCCTAAACCCTGACCCCCTTCGTGACCAAATGGTTTTTTTCCACCCGGGGGGGCCCTAAACCCTGACCCCCTTCGTGACCAAATTGTTTTTTTCCACCCGGGGGGGCCCTAAACCCTGACCCCCTTCGTGACCAAATGGTTTTTTTCCCCCCGGGAAGGCCCTAAACCCTGACCCCCTTCGTGACCAAATGGTTTTTTTCCCCCCGGGGGGGCCCTAAACCCTGACCCCCTTCGTGACCAAACGGTTTTTTTCCCCCGGGGGGGGCCCTAGGGAAAGTTTGCCTCCAAAACCACCCCAAATGCACCCCCCACCCCACCCTCCCCGGTTTGAGAATTAGATTTTGGTTTTTCGGCCAATTGGACCTTGAGCTTTAAGCCTACTGGGAATGTATTGAGTGGACTTTGTATTTTCTCAATGTTATGGGTTTCTTGGGTGGGTGGGGTTTTATTCCAGCCCTTGACAAGCTGCTCGACTAGTGAATGCTCGGACTTGAGATGCTGAACCCTAAACCCTAAACCCTAAACCCTAAACCCTAAACCCTAAACCCTAAACCCTAAACCCTAAACCCTAAACCCTAAACCCTAAACCCTAAACCCTACACCCTAAACCCTAAACCCTAAACAGTTCTAATTGGTTAATAAGCACCCTGAACCTCCAAGTAGACCCTGCATCCTGGCCCTACGTGAGGTTATAGAGCTTATGAACCCTCAACCCCTAGATCCCTAAATCCCTAAATCCCAGAGCCCAAAACTGCCCTAAACCCTAAACCCTGAACCCTAAACCCTAAACCAAGCCTTGAGGCCCACACAAACCTTGAGGCTCCAACTCCGTGAGGGCATCCATGGCCCTGGAGGGACTTGGGGTTTTGTATCATTACCCAAAGAGCCCATTACCCCTTAATTGAGGAATATACCTGAGATCATATTAAGGATCCCTGTAGACTTCAAGGAATATTCCTTATTCAGGGGTATTTGGGCTCTTTGGGTATGGCATGAGGTACCGAAACAAGCCCGTACTAGCTCGGTCATAGGGAAAGACCTTGATGTTCAAAGGTTTAGCGTGTAGGGTTCAGGTTTTGGGCTTGAGGGTTTCGGGTTCAGGGTTTAGGGTGTAGGGCTTCTGTTACCTTAAATTCCAGCATGGTACTACACATGGACTGTCTTAGTAACCTTATCTTCAAGGTTGCTGTCAATCATGGTATTTTGTTTTTTTTTTTGGGGGGGGGGGGGGGGGGCGCGTAAGGGTTTCAGTTTCTGGGTTGCGGGTCTTGGGGTGTAATTGTGGCTTTCTGCTTCAGGTTTGTGAGGGTTTTAAGGTTCAGGAGTTTATACCCTAGCGCATAGAGGAGCCCTATCGACGAAGCATGGGGCTGCACTAAATCCTAAACCTCGCAACTACAAACCTTGAACTTCTACAGCCCCGAAACCCTTCAGCCTCTAAACCTCTAAACCCTGAATCCTACACCTCTAAACCCTAAACCGAAGCCCTGAAAACTAAACCCTAAACCCTAAACCCAAAACCCTAAACCCTAAACCCTAAACCCTAAACCCTAAACCCTAAACCCTAAACCTTAAACCCAAAACCCTAAACCTTAAACCCTAAACCGATGCCCTAAACCCTACACGGCCCTAAACCCTATAAAGGGGTGTTGCGCCTCTGGGCCCCCACGGCTCGGGTGCAGGAGAAGTATCTCAAGAAGAAGGCGCAGAAGCACGTGCAACAGGCAGGTCCCGAGATTGGGGTCTGGGTTTAGGGTTTAGGATTTAGGATTTAGGGTTTAGGGTTTAGGGTTTGGGGTTTAGGGTTTGGGGTTGGTTTAGGGTTTAGGGTTTAGGATACTTAGGATTTACATGCCAGAAGGGTGCAAGATCTCTTATTTTACTCCTAGTATGGCTCTTGTATTCTTTGGGAGGGTCTTTACAAGGGCCCCCCCAAACCCAGGGGTACAACCTTAGGGGTCCAAGTTAGAGTCCGAGGATTCAAGGCTTTAGGGTTTAAGGTTTACAGTGTGTGGGGATTTAGGGTTCAATTAGGCGGTTTTGATGTGGGGTTTTCGTATTTTTGATTGCAGGTCTCCTGTTTGGGGGTCCCCAAAACCCCGAAACCCTACAACACCAAATGCCCCGTGAATCTGTTAGGGTTTCGGGTGTTCCGTTCACCCCTTCAGCCCCACAAGCCCTGCGGGTGCTTGCATACAGGAGCGATATACATATTTGGGGACAACAAGCCCTAAACCCCTAAACTAAACCCTAAACCCTAAACCCTAAACCCTAAACCCTAAACCCTAAACCCTAAACCCTAAACCCTAAACCCTAAACCCTAAACCCTAAACCCTAAACCCTAAACCCTAAACCCTAAACCCTAAACCCTAAACCCTGAACCCCAGGTCACGCTGCTTCGGCCGACGGTGATGGAGCTCTGCGAGACCTACTACCGCCAATCACGTGCCAAGGTGCCACAGAAGTGTAGGGTTTAGGGCTGTTTAGGGTTTAGGGTTTAGGGTTAGGGCTTACAGGCTTCTTTGGAGCCTTTAAGGTTTGGGGTTGGTTTGAGGTTTAGGGTTTAGGGGCTCAGTGTTCTGTTCATGAGGGCTATGTGGAAGTGGTTTCTGGGGTTGAGAGCTTGGGGTTTAGAGGGGTTGGGGGTTTCGGTTCGTCTTTTTGTAGGTTACGTACCTTAAACCCCAAACCTCTAAGCCCTAAACCCTCAACCCTAAACCCTAGACCCTAAACCCTAAACCCCAAACCCCTAAACCCCCAAGCCCTAAACCCCAAACCCTGTGGGATAAGCCAGTCCACAGGATGCTTTGCAGCGCGTACCGTGGAACCTGATAGGGTCATTTCCTGCAGGATGCTTCGCTTCGGACGGATCCCTGAACACTTTCGGGTTCATGGTTTAGGGCATAGGGCCTAGCTAGTTTAGGGTTTAGGATTTAGGGTTTAGAGTTTAGGGTTTAGGATTTACAGGGCCTCCTGCGTCAGAACCATGCTGGAATCCTTCGAACCTATCTGGAATGCGGCTGCCCAGCACCATCAGATAAGAACTGCGCGGTCAGTCTTCTAAGTCATGGGCGCACGTCCCAACGCCACAACAGCAAAACAAAAGCCCCCCCCCCCTTCCCCCCGGCCCCCAACAAGAGACAGCACACAAAAACAACACGCCGCCCACAACAGCAAATCAAATTGCGCTCCCCTGCCAGAACGTCATAGGAACATCATAACGCCGCTCCCACCGAACGCGCCCTCTAGATTTTGGGATGTTGCCCCTCATTCTGGCCGTCCTTAATAGATTATAGTACCGCCTATGATAATCCCTGTCAGGGACTGTTAGTATAAGGGGGAACATCCCAATCTATAGTCATTGCCAAACTATCAAGCTTCAAATCCCAGGATCTCTCCTCCACCCAAAACCCCCCCAAAAACTAAGCATGATGCCCTCGGCGCGCAAAATGTGTAGGGTTTGGGGTTTTTAGGGTTGAGGGTTTCCCTACACCCTAAACCCTAACCCTAAACCCTAAACTAGCCAGGGGTCTTGGTTAAGCCCCGTTATGCAGGAAAGGGATCCTCTTAACTTCTCTTGGACGTTTTTATGGGGTTAGGTTCCCGTATGTAGAGTTCCACTACGCAAAAGCACGGGATTCCCCTTTACCCTAAACCCTAAGCCGTAAACCCCAAACCCGAAACCCGAAACCCCAAACCCCAAACCCTAAACCCTAAACCCTAAACCCTAAACCCTAAACCCTAAACCCTAAACCCTAAACCCTAAACCCTGTAGACTCTAAGTTGGGGCTTTGGCGGCAGGTTTGCGGACTCCGCTACGACTACTTGTCATCCTTGCTGTGCCATGCCGACGCGGGGGACTCAGAACTTGACTTAGGGGGTTTAGGGTTTAGGGTTTAGGGTTTAGGGTTTAGGGTTTAGGGTTTAGGGTTTAGGGTTTAGGGTTTAGGGGTTAGGGGTTAGGGGTTAGGGGTTAGGGTTTAGGGTTTAGGGTTTAGGGTTTAGGGTTTAGGGTTTAGGGTTTAGGGTGTAGGGTGTAGGGTTTAGGGGTTAGGGGTTTATGTTTTCGGGTATCGGGCCTGGAACACAACACCCCAAAGTCCCAAGACCCCCCAACCCCAAACATCAAAACCCCAAATTCCTGGAACCCTTAGGGGGTTGGTGAACTTTACGCCCAAAACCCTGAACCCCAACATCGCGAACCTCACAAGCCCTGAGCCCTAAAAACCTACACCCATGGTCCTTACCATGGTATATAGGGATCCGAAGTATGGGCCCTTGTTGTATATAGTGTAGATAAGTTAAGGGCTACAATATAACAAGGGGCCCAAATGAAGGGACCAAACCTTTGGGGCCCTGGGCAATCCCTAAACCCTCCTAAACCCTAAACCCTAAGTTCTAAGCCCTAAACCCTAGACCCTCAACCCTCAACCCTCTACCCTCAACCCTAAACCCTAAACCCCAAACCCCTAAAGGCACTTGGGGGTGAGGGGGTGGGAGGTGCGAAGCGGCGCTCGCTTCTTGGTGCTGGATAATGCGGCCGGCTTGGCACTGGCCTCAGACTTGATTAAGAAGAACATAGGGTTTGGGGTTTAGGGTTTGGGGTTTAGGGTTTAGGGTTTAGGGTTTGGGGTCTGGGGTTTGGGGTTTAAGGTGTTGAGTTGGGTGTAGGTTTAGGGGTTTCAGCGGCTTAGGGTTTGAGGATTTAGGTGCTGAGTGGAGTTTTAGGGTGTGGGGTTGCTTGACCGGGAGAATGGGGCGCTGAGTAGGGGTTTAGGGTTTAGGGTTTCGGGTTTAGGGTTTAGGGTTTTGGGTTTAGCTTTACCGTTCGGACGATTTAGGGTTTGATCCTCTGGATGTGCCCGGGTGAGGGCCTGCTTTGTTGACGCGCCTTTAGGCCACAAACTTCGTGGCTGTATCCCTAAACCCTAAACCCAAAACCCAAAACCCTAAACCCTAAACCCTAAACCCTAAGCCGTGAACAAAATAGACCAAAGTCTGGTCCCATTCAGGTCACCCTAAGTATCAGGCTCCCTAAGCCCTAAGCCCTACACCCGAAGCCCTAACCCTAAACCCTAAAGTGTTTAGGGTTTATCGGGCTTCCCTAAACCCTAAACCCTCAACCCCAAACCCTAAACCCTAAACCCTCAACCCTCAACCCTAAACCTGTACTCAGCGTTGCAGTGCAGTGTTGCAGTGTTGGATGCCACTGCCATTGTGAGACAATTGTCCAAGCTTACTGCTTCCGCGGCTTAGCCGGGAATGTTCGGCAACAATGATCTCTGCAATGCCTGCTTGGAAAAACGCCGCGGAAGCATCACAAAATGGCATGTGAAGGTGGGCCTTACAGATTGGAGTATCCAGTGTTTCGCATTCATGCAACCATTGCTGCAGCTGCCTGCCTTGTTGGCAGGATGATTTGGCTGCCCATTGTGGGGGAGAGTGCCCGGGCTGCGACAGGTTTGGAAAGAGAAAATCTGTTGACGCTGCAGGCCGGCGGGTCCCCCTGCATGCTGATGGCAATGTTCGGGGGCCAGGTTTCTTGCGAGACATGCCTGGCTGAGTGCACCTTTTGCTTTATCAGAGCCGGCCCTATTGCCAAAGCAATGAATGTTGGAACGGCAGGGTGCAGATCTGCCTGGTGCTCACATGTCTGCCTAGAGAGATATCTAGAGAGCATGGCCCCTTGCAACTTTCTCAAATACGAGATGCTATGCCATCATGATGAAGTGCGCGACTTCGTCAGTCGTGCGCAGGTTGAAAGCAGCTTACCAGAGGAGTTGCTAATCGAAGTGGAACCTTGGGTCCGTGGCAGTGCCAGACCAGGTAAATGGATTGGGGGTGCAAAGCCGATGCAAGACTGCAGCATTCTGAATGCCCTCAAGCCTTGGCCGGCTTGGTTGGAAGAGATGGTCATCCGTTGCAGGGCAACTTTCCTGCATGAGTTGCAAGCCGCTGCTCTACTGCTCCATTCATTGCCACAAGAAATGCGCGCTGACGTGTTTGCAATGTTGAGGGGGTACAGCATCGAGCAGTGGTGTGAGCGCTTTGAGGATGTTGTCAAGGTGGCACATCGCTTTCGCATCTTTGGGACTCATAGAGGAGACGAGGTGCATTTGCTTCTCAAGTTTGGGCGCTGCACGAGAAGAAGGGAAGATTACAGCGATTGGCGCACTGACTCTATGTCACGGTTGCGCCCAAGGGCTGTGAAAATCTCTCCGATCGATGGTGGCCGTGGCTCCAGGGCAGATGTATTCAATGCAGTCGTTGTGCAGCGAGCTGAGCAGCTGGTTGCGAGCTCCTTTGATCCATCTGAAATGGGGGAGAGTGCTGAATCTGTAGAAGGGCAGTTGCTGGGGATGTTGGCCAATGGGGCTTCGACTTCGCGCCAGCTCTATAAGGCAACTGTTTGCGATGAAGGATTGCATTCAGAGGATAGGCAAGGTTACCTGTTTCAGCTGCGCTCCAGAAGGGATCGTACTGGCCACCATGCGGGCGCCTCCAAGAGCAGTGAATTCCTCAATCTCCAAGTTGGAGCCTGCGAAAAAGCGTGGTCTTGAGAGTCCAGATGACACTTCTTCGATACCAGAAGTTGTGGGCGCCAGAAGCTTAGAGAGGAGAATTCGCGATCCATTGGGCGCATGGTGCTGACTCAAGGCCCTGATGAAGCGGTGCAGATTGGATTCTCGATGCTGAGTGCCGTCAAACCAGACTTGGCTGGTGGCCTGGGCAAACACAAGATGGCCACAGGAGCAGGCTTTGCGCATGGGTTGGACAGCCAGCAAGGGCGATATGCGGCAGATATAGACAACAAGGACTTCTCGGGATACAACGAAAGCGAGGAGTTTCGGGAACTGTCCTTGTTCGATTCTGCCATGGCTTTGGCATTCCATCGGAAGAAATTGACGCTGCGATCGTGGAGCTGGCTTTGGATAGCGTTGTCCTGCTACATGGTTGTGGCAAACCGTGGTGAGAAGCAGTTCTTGGAAACCGCGCAGTCATGTAGGAGATGGATCAATTCATTGTGGTCGGGGTCATGCCTGACTGCTTTGAAGAGCATTGGCATCCATGACGCATACGTCGAGACCAATCTCAGGTTCGTTGAGAATGATGCGAACTACCCTCGCAATGGCGTTCATCAAGATGTGTGGGGATGATTATCCTCCCCTATGCTAGCAACCATACAGGCCATTTTTACTGACCCACACTTTCTAGTTCAGGGGCCTTTGGACCACGCCGCTCATGGCCAGGTAGCTGCTGGTATTAGGCAGGGCTGCCCCCGTAGTCCATACCTTTTGATCATTGTCCTTACCGTTATGCTCAGCGATGTGGACACTGATCTTCTCACTCAGGGGGTCCCTTGCAACACATGGTCAACGCCCGACCTATGATTTGGAATACGCGGACGATACCCTACTTATCGCGCGCGCGCGCGCGGCGCGCGCAAGCACAACTGCAGAACATCCTAACGACATTGGAGGGGGTAGCGTCGGAGTACGGTATGAAGCTCAATATGACTAAAACAGAACTTTTGTTGCGCCCGGACCGCCCGCCCCAGTGGTAAAGTTTCAAGACGGCGCGACGGTTCCGACCACACCTCAGTTTAAGTACCTTGGGTCCATATGATACCCTGGAAAAAAACTCATTCGAACACGCCTTCCGCCACAGAGCGGCGCTGGCAGAAGAAGCATATAAGAAGTTGCGTTTGGTGTGGAGCAGCCACCTAACCATGGCAGTAAAGGTACGCATGTTTCAATCTACGTTCACACCTGTACTTTTGCATGGCCTAACCTCCTCACCCTGACCCATAAACACCTACACAGAATTGATGCGTACTTCCATCGTTTCCTCCGAAGATCCATTGGAATCAAAGCCTCCTTCTATTCACGAATCTCCAGTTTGGGAGCAAGCCCGCCGGCCACAACTACCATCAGCAGCTCTCCTTAAAGCCCAAAAGACCTTCATGAAAGAAGTGTACTTAGCCCCTCGCGCAGAGCCAGTTCATTCCGTAGTCTTCGCAGCAGCACATAAGGACAGGATCATTAACCAAGGCCGTAGACGTGGAATGCAATTCCCTTACTGGGTCGAAGTCACCGCCCAACAACACTACCCAGATCTTTGTACGTCGGACCACACCTCACGCGCTAACCCCCATGACAAGTATACTAAGACTGCACGCGCCATGCGAGAACCTGAGCCAGAGAGTGCGCCTAAGCGCGCAACGCATCAGCGCGCACGGCCTTGCTAAAAAAACACCCTCAACCCTAACCCCTTTGGGGGCGGGGGGGGGGGGGGTTCTCTTGCACTGGCCAAACAAGATGCCCTGGTGAGGTGACGGGCGCCATGGCCACACAACTGGGCGGTGTGGGGCAGGTGCTTGGCTGTGCTTACCCATAAACCCTTTGAGGGTTTGGGGAATAGAGTTGCCCCTAAGCCCCTAAGTCTAAACGTGGAACTTGAGGGTTTTGGGTTTAGGGTTCAGGCCTCATGGCGTTTCGGGCTCACAGGGCTTAGGGTTCTGTATAGTCTTTTGAGGCAATCTTCACTACAAGTGGGGCCCAGATCGGGACACTTCCACTCTTCGCATCAAGATAACTGAATATGTCCATAAACCTCAAACCCTAAGTCACCCAAACCCTAAAAACCCTAAAAAGCCTAAAAACCCTAAACCCTAAACCCTAAACCCTAAACCCTAAACCCTAAACCCTAAACCCTAAACCCTAAACCCTAAACCCTAAACCCTAAACCCTAAACCCTAAACCCTAAACCCTAAACCCTAAACCCTAAACCCTAACCCCCAAACCCTGCACCCTAAACCCTTAAGAAAGACCAAGTGAGGCCCACCCCGGCCGCACTTTTTCTGGGTAGTAGGGTTTAGGGTTTAGGGTTTGGGGTTTAGGGTTTAGGGTTTAGGGTCTCTGAATTAGGGGTTGTTGGGGAGTCCTTCTCTTATGGGTGCCGCATTATTAGGTTTTAGGGTTTAAGCTTTAGGCTTCAGTAATTTTACGAGAACTACCCACATCAAGATGGCAACCTCGTAGGCCCCGCCTTGCACTTCGCATTCTTGATTGCAGATAGACCTTCGCCATCGACCCTAAACCCCATACCCGAAACCCTAAACCCTACGGGATGACCCGCTCCACAGGGCCAGAAGACGGCTCCGGTTTAGGGTTTGGGGTTTAGGGTTGAGGGTTTACAGGGTTCAGGGTTCAGGGTTTAGGGTTTAGGGTTTAGGGTTTAGGGTTTAGGGTTTAGGGTTTAGGGTTTAGGGTTTAGGGGGACCGGTGTACATTGCACATAGATGAGCTGCCAGAGACCTTGATGAGCGATTGAGAATGTTCCGCAGGCTCCCACCCCAAACGCTTGTCGTAATCCCCAAACAGGGGTACCCCTTTCTATCACCAAACATCATCGAATCATATCGAATCCCCTTAACTCTAACACCCTAAACCCTAAACCCACAAAGGGTACCTCTTATAAGGGACCTCCCAGGTTCTTCTTCAGGGTTTAGGGTTTAGGGTTTAGGGTTCAGGGTTCAGGGTTCAGGGTTTAGGGTTTAGGGGCCCTAAGCCGTAAACCCGAAAAAACCCGAAACCCTGATGATAAGAGGCTGGGTGGCAGGTTGAGGGTTTAGGGTTTAGGGTTTAGAGATTAAGGTTTAGGGTTTAGGGTTTAGGGTTTAGGGTTTAGGGTTTAGGGCTTAGGGTTTAGGGTTTAGGGTTTAGGGTTTAAGGTTTAGGCGGTTTCGAGGCTGTCATTGCATGTTGTCCCCTCGAAATAGAGATAGGCAAGGACAGCACATGTCAAAGCCGTTCTTGCAACTTTCACAAATACACGTACACAGCATGCCGTTCAAGTTGCTCTCATTGCACGCCGTTCCTGCAATCTGGCGCATGAGCCGGTTGAAAGATTGGGCCGTTGGTCGAAAATCCGCGTGTAGTACATGCCAAGTCCATAACGAAGCAGTTTTTTGCATGCTTGTTTCCGAATCGGCTCATGAGCAGGTGTTGGTACTGAACGGGAAAATCAAAATGTCCTGTAACTGTAAGACGTCGGAAGCGCATCTTCCCACCAACAGCTATTCGTTATACGCATGCATGCTGCATGTGGGTGCAAAGTTTGTTGTTTTTTTGCAGTACAAGCGGAGAGCCTCAAGCAACACAACCTGCAACGCTGCAAGTTCATGAGACAGGCTGTCGCACCAGTTGCGAAGTCGACAGAGAATACTGGGGCCATACAGTACCGCCTATAGGGACTTTGGGGCCCAAGTCTAGTATAGTAATGAGGTACATGGACCCTTAGGGTTGAGTTACCTGTGACCCCGTGTTTGCACATTTAACTCCCGACATGCAATATGCAGCTTCGGTGGTGCCACCACATCTGAATCCTCCATTCGTATAGGGCTGCACGCCGTCACCTGGGATGGTCCAAAGCACGTCCTACAGTTATTCGTTCGTCGATTCTCCATCAAGCTGTCAACATGATTAAAGAACATTCCCGAAACCCTAAACCTCACACCCTAAACCCTAAAAGTAAGCCCTGGACCCTAAACCCAAAAACGGCCTGCGGGAGCCAGCTAGCTGTTCAACCCCAAATGCCTGTCCTCGGACCCGGAGTAGGCCCTTATTTCCTTTCTTTAGGGTCGGGGTTCCCTTATAACTCCCTGGTTACTCCTGGGTCTAGTTGCCCTAAACCCTAAGCCCTAACCCTAAACCCTAAACCCTAAACCCTAAACCCTAAACCCTAAACCCTAAACCCTAAACCCTAAACCCTAAACCCTAAACCCTAAACCCTAAACCCTAAACCCTAAACCCTAAACCCTAAACCCTAAACCCTGAACCCTGAACCCTGAACCCTGAACCCTGAACCCTGAACCCTGAACCCTGAACCCTGAACCCTGAACCCTGACCCTGAACCCTAAACCCTAAACCCTAAACCCTAAACCCTAAACCCTAAACCCTAAACCCTAAACCCTAAACCCTAAACCCTAAACCCTAAACCCTAAACCCTAAACCCTAAACCCTAAACCAAAACACCCGGAACCCTAAACCCCCACTCCTGGGTCTAGTTTCCCAGTCGCCCTGTGGCAGATTTTTCGGGTCTTCCGCGGAGGCTGCCCGGAGAAGGCTCACGGATCGACTCCGTGTTTCGGGCTTTTTTGGGCTTCGGGGTTTAGGGTTTAGGGTTTAGGGTTTCGGGTTTAGGGTTTAGGGTTTAGGGTTAGGGTTGAGGGCGGGAGTAGCTAAGCAAGAGCATTGGTGAAAATGGTTGGTTGTCTTGGTCGCCCAATGGTGCCCTTTTGCACTTTTTTGTTGGTCCAAGGTTTCCTTCTAAAGTAACGAACCCCAAAAGGGTATCCTTATTGTAATAAGGTTCCTGGGCTACCAGACCCCGCAAGCCCTAAGCCCTAAGCCCCCTACTCTAAAGCCCCTAGAGCCCCTAGAGCCCCCAAGTTGTAAGTTGGCCCCCACAAAAACTGCTATCTTCGACAGGTTAGAAGCGCAGCTATACAAGGCTTCAGAGCTGTCTCGTTGTGTTAGGGTTCAGGGTTTAGGGTTTAGGGTTTAGGGTTTAGGGTTTAGGGTTTAGGGTTTAGGGTTTAGGGTTTAGGGTGTACGGTTTAGGGTTTAGGGTTTAGGGTTAAGGGTTGAGGGTACAGGGATCCAAGTACACATTGCCAGGGTCGGGGGTTCATGAAGCTGTCGGGCCAAGCACTTTTTTAGTTTAGGGTTGAGGGTTTGGGGTTTGGGGTTTGGGGTTAGGGTTTAGGGTTTGGGGTGTAGAGTTTGGGGTTTGAAATCTGGGGTGCTGGGGATTTTCGGGTTTGGGGTTAGGGCCCCTTCCGTATCGGCAAGGGCCCTACTCAGGGTTTTGAACAAAATCATCCTCCACCCAGGATGGGCTACTCGGCCCTAGAATCCCCATGATCAACCGTGAGTTTAGGGATGTTTCGGTTTTAGGGTTTTGGGGGCGTAGGGTATAAGAGCCCAACCCAGTCGCTCCAACAAGCACCTTGAGTTTACTTCGCTGGCCAGACTCCCCTAAGCCCTAAACCCTTGTCCCACTAAAACCTTGTCCCCCTTTGCCTTTCCCAAAGCGCGAATCAAGTCGCACGCAGACGTGTGTAGGCATGATTGCTCGAGAATATGTGGCACATGTAATGCTTGCGCAAGCATTGCGCCAAGGTACGTCTGTAGAAATTGCATGGGAGTTGACAGGCTAGGAGGAGGTGCGGGTGTTGCAAGGTGTGCGTGTGTGCGTGTGTCGTCAGAGGGCCCTGGCGACATGTCCATCTCAGTGGCCGTCGTGTTGTTGAGCGGCTCCCGCGTGTCCATCCAGTTGGATCCCGACGCCAGGCTTGAGGCGCTTCGGACAAGGGCAGAGGCTGCGCTAGGGACACCCCTCGGCAAGCTAATCACGGAGGCGGGGGCTTTGCTTACGCACCAACGGACGCTCAGGCAAGCAGGAATCCGAGATGGTGATACGATCACTGCTGTTGCTGGGCACGTGGCTGTAGCAGCAACAGCATCCGCATTTGCCCTCCTTCGGGCAGATGGCTCGGTGGTGACTTGGGGACACCCTTCCCGTGGTGGCAACAGCGAGGCTGTGCAGAATCAGCTGCAGAATGTGCGTCATGTTCAAGCAAATGCCCGAGCCTTCGCCGCACTTCGTGAAGATGGGTCTGTCGTGACATGGGGCGACGGAGAGCGTGGTGGCTTCAGCCAGCATGTCCAGCGCCAGCTCCAAGATGTGCGTCAGATTGAGGCTAGCTGTGAGGCTTTTGCAGCCATCAAGGCTGACGGCTCTGTGGTAGCCTGGGGTTATCCCCGCAGCGGTGGCAACTGCGCAGATGTTCAGGAACAACTGAAAGACGTTGCTTCTATCCAAGCCTCTAGTGGGGCTTTTGCTGCCTTGCGTGCTGATGGTGTGGTGGTAACATGGGGTAACGACGACCTCGGCGGTGACAGTCGTGCAGTTCGCGGCCACCTCAGACATGTTCTACGGCTTCATGGCAGCCCAGTTGGGTTCGCTGCCATCAAAGCAGGCGGACAAGTGGTTTATTGGGGCTCGGACTTCGATCCAGGTATCTTGGTAGCACATTGGTACCCCTTACCCATGTTTTGGGTTTTGGGTTCCCTTATGAAGTAGCCAACCAAAAAAAAAGGGTAGCCTGATTATAAGATGCTTGTTGGGCTACCAAGGTCTGCGGTTACTGGGCTTCCAAGGTAGTATGCATGGAGTGTATGAGACAGGGCTCCAAGACATTCGGCAGCTCGAATATTTTGCTGACTCTTGGGTCGCTGTTGGATCAGATGGGCGTATGTCAACTTGGGGCAAGTACACAAGCCAGTGTGAGGGAGTTGTAGGCATCAAGCGTTTGATGGATGGCCACGGCAAAGTGAACATTTACGATGATGGTAATGCTGCAGTTGCTCTTCTCGGTGATGGTACTGTCATAGCTTACGGGCATCCCTGCAAAAGCAGTGCCAGGGTGCCAGGACAACTCCGGCAGGTTGTGCGGATTCAGGCTACTTGCGGTGCGTTTGCAGCGATTCGGTCCGACGGGTCCGTCGTGACATGGGGCCTCAAAGATTCTGGCGGTTGCAGCCTTGCCGTTCAGACGCAGTTGCAGCATGTCCGAGACATACAAGCCTCTCGGTTTGCTTTCGCTGCTGTGCGTGATGATGGGCATGTGGTCACCTGGGGCGACAAGGAGCATGGAGGCGACAGCCGCAGTGTGCAGCGCCAGCTCAGGGATGTCAGATGCATCTAGGTAGGCCCGGGCGAGATTTTATATTTTTCCTTTTCGGGTTTCAGAGGGTCATATTATATATTTTCCCTTTTTGGGTTTAAGAGATCATATTTTGGAAATGTGATTTTCAGAGGGTTTTAAGTAGGGCCAGCTAAGGCATTCAAGCAACGAAAAGCAGTCTCGCCACGGCCCGGGGCGCTTTTGCCGCCATCCGCGGCGACGGATCCGTGGTGTCATGGGGCAGCCCGGCAAATGGCGGCGACAGCACCGGCGTGCGAAGGTTGCTCGGCAGAACGCTAGAGGATGATCTGATGGAGTTTGAGGCCGAGGCTGAGACCACGGCAAGGGCAGCAGCCAGGGTGGAGGGCAAGGCCAAACTTCGCGGAAGAGCTGCGGCCAAGGCGAAATTGAAAGCCAAGGCCAAGGCCAAAGCCAAGGCCAAGACCAGGGCCAAAGTCAGGGCCAGGGCCAGGCCAGGGTCAGTGGCCCTCAAGAGACCTGCGAGGAGATAGAGCTGAACAACGAACAACTCGACATGCAGATTCTACAGTCTTCCCCCAAGCCCTGCAATAGCCCCAGGTTCAGGGAACTCTAATCTGGGCATCAATATATGTTTCATATGTTCTTGATTCGGGGGGGGGGGATTTAAGGAAGAAGGTAAGTATGACCCAACTGTATTGATATCTGCCGCCCAAGACGGGGTATTCAGACTAGGCGACGTGCGGCTTCTCTGGTTTTAGGACTCGGTGTTTGTCCATTTTAGGGTTCAATGTTGTTCGAGAGTTATCGGGTTTGGTGTTGAAGCGCTGTGAGTGCTCCGTTTTTTGCAGCCTAAACCCTATAGACCCCGAACAACGTATGGTGCATATAGCTTCGAACCCTAAAGCCCTAAGCCCTAAGCCCTAAACCCTAAACCTTAAAGCCCTGGCAAGCTAAGCGTGGCGAACGAGGACTCAAAGCCCCAAGCCCCTACACCCCGAAACCCCTACACCCCCGAAGCCCCTAAGCCGCAAGTCTGCGGTGTGCCAGCTTGAGGGTTTAGGGTTTAGGGTTTAGGGTTTAGGGTTTAGGGTTTAGGGTTTAGGGTTTAGGGTTTAGGGTTAAGGATCAACAGTCCGGGGTCGGCTTTCAAAAGTTGGAAGCTTGGGGACTTTGGCTTATGGTTTTGGGGTATGGATTAATATGAGTGCACACACACATGCATACATACTTACATATGTATGTGTGTCGATGTACGGGACCCTAACCCAAACCTACAGGACCCCCTAAGAAGCGAATGATACGACTATTAGGCATCCTAGAGGAAAACATAGGCCCCTCATTGGAAGTGAACTTGTATAGGATTATAGCCAAGCACTGCGCACATGATCCTACTTAGTTATCACACCCATGATCGTACACATGCCAATCTTGAGGGATCGCGGGGCTTAGTTTGTTAAGTAAGGCGATTAAGTACGACAATCCAATCTAGTTACTATGTAAGTGTTAAGTTGAGGTTGTCATGTAGGGATATGATGTCGAGCTAAAGTAACTCGACTTGTCCCTACGAAATCCCTTGATCCAAGCAAGCCCTGTGCCGTCTGCGGCGTCAACGCGTCGCCCTAGCCTCTGCGAAGGAGCAGCATGAGCGGCTTGCCACAGACGCACAGTGCCTGGCTCCTGTGGAACCAGGGTTTAGGGTTTAGGGTTTAGGGTTTAGGGTTTAGGGTTTAGGGTTTAGGGTTTAGGGTTTAGGGTTTAGGGTTTAGGGTTTAGGCCCAGGCGTCCGGATGGAGCCCCTAGGGGCGCGAACCGGTGAGGCTGCAATCGGCGAGCACGAACCCTAAACCCTAAACCCTAAACCCTAAACCCTAAACCCTAAACCCTAAACCCTAAACCCTAAACCCTAAACCCTAAACCCTAAACCCTAAACCCTAAACCCTAAACCCTAAACCCTAAACCCTAAGCCAAGACGGGGCGTCCTCGGACCACGAGGACCCCAAGCAAGGAGTTGGGGTTCTCACATCCGGGAAAGCTCAAGTCACAGAGCCTTTGAGAAGAAACCTTACCAGGTCTCGGCCCTATACACTGGCTTCACGGGTTTAGGGTTTTGTGTTTAGAGTTTAGGGGCTGAGGGTTTGGGGTTCAGCACACCGAAGAGCCCGAACCTTCTCCTAAACCCTAAACCCTAAACCCTAAACCCTAAACCCTAAACCCTAAACCCTAAACCCTAAACCCTAAGCCCTAAACCCTAAACCCTAGACCCTAGACCCTAGACCCTAAACCCTAAACCCTAAACACTAAACACTAAACCCTAAACCCTAAACCGGCCACGCCCTCCACATGGAAGGGCCTCCTCGAGCTGGATCTGAGCGAGGCAGAGAAGGCCTTGGGACGAATTGGGGTTTTTGGGGGTTCTTGGGGGTTTAGGGTTTAGGGTTTAGGGTTTAGGGTTTGGGGTTTAGGGTTTAGGGTTTAGGGTTTTTGGGGGGCTTACTTGGATGCCCAGTAGTACCCTTATTCCCTTTTTATTGGGTTCGTATCCCATATGAACCCCTATAAGCCAAAAAGGGTGCCTTTTGCGGCTGAGCTGTTGTCACGGCTGATGTGTCTCTGTAGGGAATGTTCCTGCGCAAGAGACATGCGAAGTTGCTGCCAGTGTCCGGTGCTTGCGTGGAGGATAGAGCTCCGCCTTCGCGGGCTTGTGCACAGTGAGTCGCGCTGCCAGCTTGCCTCACACATCGCCTTTTGGTCACAACCAATCCGTATGCTGTCAGCAGCAGCAGCCCTTCGAGTGCGTTGATGCCTTCTTGTGTCATTCTTGTTCACAGATGGCGACAGCAACTCTTGCTTGACTATGGAGCCAAGAAGGGTGCCCTTTTTCCTCCTAGGTTACTGGGGAACCCAGTTTAAGGGTTTAGGGTGTAGGGTTTGGGGTTTAGGGTGTAACTAGGGTTAGGGTTTAGGATTTAGGGTTTAAGGCTTTGGGATGCAAGGGTTTACGGCTTTAAGGGTTTGGAGTTTATTTAGGGTTTGTTCGGGTTTTCCTGGGGTTCAGGGTTTACCAACTACCCGCTACCCGCCAAGCTAAATGCTAAAGACCAAAACCCAAACTGCACACCCCAAACCCTGAAATCTGTCCACAACTGCTGCAGAGTCCCTGGAAGCCTGGCAAACACAGCCCCCCCGGACCCGCCCTCAAACGCTACCCCCCCCCCCCCCCCCACCCCCCCAAACCCTACTACACCCTCCCAAACCCTAAACCCTCATCCCTAAACGCCAAACCCTAAACCCTAAAACCCTAAACCCTCTGCCCTCTAAACCCTAAACCCTAAACCCTAGACCCTAAACCGAAAGCCATAGACTTGAACCTAGCGCATAGATCTTCTGACCAGGCCGCCGTGCGGCCCGTGGCCCTGGAGGCTGGACGTTTAGTTCTGCCCTCCTAACCTTCAAGCTCTCACCAAAAACTGTAAGGTTTAGGGTTTAGGGTTTAGGGTTTAGTGTTTAGGGTTTAGGGTTTTTAGGGTTTGGGGTTTGGGGTTTGGGGTTAGGGCTTAGGGTTTAGGGTTTAGGGTTTGGGGTCCGGGGTCGCCCTGTAGATCAAAAACCCCCAAACCCTAAACCCTAAACCCGAAACCCGAAACCCCCTTCGGGGGTACAAAGGGGTTGTGGGGGCCTTCGCTGTGGAGGCTCTACATGCCACTGACCTCAGCACATGTGAGCTCGGCCCTCGCTGGTTTCTGTTTCTTGCTCCTAGGGTGTAAGGTGCGGGGTTTAGGGTTTAGGTCTTCTGAGTAGGAAATGAGGGAATGGGGTACCCTATATGATCCTCTAAGGGCATATATAGTCCTTCATTCCCTAGCAAGAACCAGGGGATCTCGCTCCAAGGTGTAGGCCTTCGGGTTAACCCTAAACCCTGAACCCTGAACCCTAAACCCGAACCCTAAACCCTAAACCCTAAACCCTAAACCCTAAACCCTAAACCCTAAACCCTAAACCCTAAACCCTAAACCCATAAACCCTAAACCCTAAACCCTAAACCCTAAACCCTAAACCCTAAACCCTAAAGCCTAAACCCTAAACCCTAAACCCTAAACCCTAAACCCTAAACCCTAAACCCTAAACCCTAAACCCTAAACCCTAAACCCTAAACCCTAAACCCTAAACCCTAAACCCTAAACCCTAAACCCTAAACCCTAAACCCTAAACCTAACCCTAAACCCTAAACCCTAAACCCTAAACCCTAAACCCTAAACCCTAAACCCTAAACCCTAAACCCTAAACCCTAAACCCTAAACCCTAAACCCTAAACCCTAAACCCTAAACCCTAAACCCTAAACCCTAAACCTAACTAAACCCTAAACCCTAACGGGGTGAGGGTTGCAATCTTCGGGCGGCCCAGGCGGCCCTGTGCAAGAGAACCTTTAACTAGCAGAAGGTTCCGGGGTCCTTGTTTTCAGGGTTAGGGTAAAGTCGTATGTTCTAGAAGCTTAGGCTTTTAGGGTTTAAGTTCTGGGGTGCTTAGTATGGTTTGGGCTGAGATCTTGCAGTTTGCCTGCTCCAGCGCCGTCGCAAGGGTGTAGCCTCCGGCAGGGGAACCGAATTTAGCAACCTGCCCATATTGCCAGGGTACGACAAAGAGCTCAGGGTCTTGGCCAGACACCCTCAGGTGAGGTTTGCATTTAGGGTTTCAGGCTTAGGCCTCTCCTCCCCCTATGCAGCAGCATGAAGTGTGCATCTCGCTTTTTACCTAGAGTCTTGGGTCCAACTTACAGCACCCCTAAACCCCAAACCCCAAACCCCAAACCCCAAACCCCAAACCCCAAACCCTAAACCCTAAACCCTAAACCCTTATAGTACTCATCTTGGGTTTTATATAACCCTTTCGCACCCCAAAACCAAGGAAGCACCAGAAGCCAGGCTAGGATCCGGCCCCGTGAGCAACCCAACTCAATCAAATGAGTGAATGGCATGTGAACGCACCGGGTTTAGGGTTTAGGGTTTAGGGTTTAGGGTTTGGGGTTTGGGGTTTGGGGTTTAGGGTTTCTAGATCTCAATTCGCAAACACCCGGACTAAGCCCTAGGAACCCTAAACGCTACGAGACACCCTAAACCTGAAACCCTGAAAGCCCTCATCCTAGGACGCCCAGTAGTGCCGCTTATTCCCTCGGAACCCCTCGTGAACCCCATAAGCTCACATTAGGCAACAAAGGGCTCACTGCACATTCGTAGGTTACTGGCGACCTCTAAAACCTTAAGCCCTGAAAACCCTACGCCCTAAGACCGAAGCCCGAAGCCCTAAGCCCAAAGCCCTAAACCCTAAACCCTAAACCCTAAACCCGAAGACCTAAACCCTAAACCCTAAACCCTAAACCCTAAACCCTAAACCCTAAACCCTAAACCCTAAACCCTAAACCCTAAACCCTAAACCCTAAACCTAAACCCTAAACCCTAAACCTCTCTTTCATATATAATTTAAATGTTAAGGAGTTACTGGGCAAGGTCATTTTTTTACTGGGCAAGGTCATTTTTTTACTGGGCAAGGTCATTTTTTTACTGGGCAAGGTCATTTTTTTACTGGGCAAGGTCGTTTCGTCAAAAAAACGACCTTGCCCAGTAAAAAAATGACCTTGCCCAGTAAAAAAATGACCTTGCCCAGTAAAAATGTTACTGGGCAAGGTCATCTTTTTACTGGGCAAGGTCATCTTTTTACTGGGCAAGGTCATTTTTTTACTGGGCAAGGTCATCTTTTTACTGGGCAAGGTCATCTTTTTACTGGGCAAGGTCATCTTTTTACTGGGCAAGGTCATTTTTTTACTGGGCAAGGTCATTTTTTTACTGGGCAAGGTTTTTTTACTGGGCAAGGTCATTTTTTTACTGGGCAAGGTCATTACTGGGCAAGGTCATTTTTTTACTGGGCAAGGTCATTTTTTTACTGGGCAAGGTCATTTTTTTACTGGGCAAGGTCATTTTTTTACTGGGCAAGGTCATTTTTTTACTGGGCAAGGTCATTTTTTTACTGGGCAAGGTCATTTTTTTACTGGGCAAGGTCATTTTCTTACTGGGCAAGGTCATTACTGGGCAAGGTCATTTTTTTACTGGGCAAGGTCATTTTTTACTGGGCAAGGTCATTTTTTTACTGGGCAAGGTCATTTTTTACTGGGCAAGGTCATTTTTTTACTGGGCAAGGTCATTTTTTTACTGGGCAAGGTCATTTTTTTACTGGGCAAGGTCATTTTTTTACTGGGCAAGGTCATTTTTTTACTGGGCAAGGTCATTACTGGGCAAGGTCATTTTTTTACTGGGCAAGGTCATTACTGGGCAAGGTCATTTTTTACTGGGCAAGGTCATTTTTTTACTGGCAAGGTCATTTTTTTACTGGGCTAGGTCATTTTTTTACTGGGCTAGGTCATTTTTTAATGGGCAAGGTCGTTTCGTCCAAAGGTGTTTAGGATTTCCGGGCCTAATGGTTAGGGTTTCAAGGCCTCACGGCCTGGTGTTTAGGGTTTCAGGGCCTCAAGGCCTGCTGTTTAGGGTTTCACGGCCTCACGGCCTAGTATTTAGGTTTCAGGGTTTCAGGGCCTCAAGGCCTAGTGTTTAGGGTTTCAGGGCCTCAAGGCCTGGTGTTTAGGGTTTCAAGGCCTCAAGGCCGGGTGTGGCTTGTGTTAAGTGCTTGGTACTACGGCGTGATTGGTGCATCCGAAGAGAAAATAAGTAACCTTCTATTTTCTTAATGTTATGGGATTCTTTGGGCGGGTGGGTTTTTTCCGTTGCCTAGATACACTGCTGGCCTAGTAAATGCTCGAACTTGAGATGCTGAACCCTAAACCCTAAACCCTAAACCCTAAACCCTAAACCCTAAACCCTAAACCTTACTGGGGTCACTGGGCAACCTTGTCAAGAACTGCCTGGCCTAGGTGGCTCCGCGCAACGCAAGGCGCTCTAGCGGGTCAGTGGATTGCCGTGTTCCGTTTAGGGTGTAGGGTTTAGGGTTTAGGGTTTAGAGTTTAGGGTTGAGGGTTGAGGGTTTGGGTTGAGGGTTGAGGGTTTAGGCTTTAGTGAGCAGGCATTTGGGTTACTCTGACTACTGAGAGCACTGCCAAGCAATAGAAATTTGGAGTGTTGATCATTAAGGCTTTAACAAGGCTGCCCTTGAAGATTAGACTTCAGTGAAGGGGGTCTCTCTTGAATGGTAGTATGGTTTCATGTCAAAGTGAGTGTTGAGAGAAGGCTGAGAAAAGGTCGGTGCACAGGCAACGACATCAGTAACCACTGCTTCTAAGCCAACCACAAGTGCTGATCGCTTCTGGATGGGTCCGCAATGATCTCTCGCGTAAACCCTAAACCCTAGACCCTAAACCCTAAACCCATTTGGCTCCTGAGGCCTGAACCCCTGACTCCTTGAACCCCCTGACTTTGGGGTTGAGGGTTGAGGTTTGAGGGTTTAGTGGGGTTTATTCGGGGTTTAGGGTTTAGTGTTTAGGGTTAGGTTTCAGGGTATCCTGCAATTAGTTCAAAGCTTCGAGCCACAAAACTTCAAATGCTCAAGCCTGCGGCCTTAACATCTTCAACCCTCAAGGCGCAACACGTTTAGGGTTAGGGTTTAGGGCTTAGGGCCCCCAACCCTGAAAAGCCCTCAGCACTACGTCTCAAAAGCAAACTTACTGGTGATCAAGGGAGGGTCAGGTCTGGAACAAGAGGCTTGAAAGAAGCGGCATAAACAGTCTTCGACACGCCCATCATTGCTTTGGGGATGCATCGTTTGGGTGTTTTCTTGTCGCTGGCATAATCTCGGTACCTGGTTCTGGCAGTCTCCCTCGGTACAACCGGGACCCGGCGCGCCTTGTTGCCTCTCAAACTCCACATCCAAGGGAAAGCCAAGATGTACAGCCGTGGCTGTGCGAGCCAGTGCGAGCTACTTTATGCCTGAGAATGATCGCCTTGGTGTTTTGGCCGCCGTCGGCCGTGAGCCACGGCTCATGACCGGGCACAAGACCATGCACGCAAGGCGCTTAGGAAAACGGCGCCGCAAAAAGCTGACCGGGAGCAAGCAAGCCGTCTACAGTCAACGCCGCAGCATCCGTGATCATGGATCCCGGTATGTGGCTGACATCAGACTCCTACTAAAGTTATTAAACCCTAAACGGACATCATGATGGACAGATCACGCACATCAGACTCAACGCAGACATGCTGAGCGTTATACATGTATACGAAAGCCGCCCTGAGCATAGCGGTACCAGGGACTCGCGCTTAGGGTTTAGAATGTAAGCCTTCTACTGGGAGGTTCAGGGTACTTCGTAGCCGAATTATAGCTGCACTTGTAACCCGATTATAACCACACTAGGGTACTTGAGGGGCTTATGAATGGGTCAGAACTGCAGTCAGAAGTGGGTTATAAGTACCCTGAACCTCCAAGTAGGGGGACCTAAAACCTAAACCCTAAACCCTAAGTCCTAAACCCTAAACCCTAAACCCCAAACCCTAAACCCTAAACCCTAGTTTCTCAAGCGCTGCAAGGCGACGAGGTCCCGAGCGATCCAGCAGTCACCTGCTCAGCTACGCTTCCCAGAACTCTAAGAGCAAAGCTCCCTGAGGCAAAGGACTTGGTAGGGATTCGTTAGGGGTTTGGGGTTTGGGGTTTAGGATTTAGGGTTTAGGGTTTAGGGTTTAGGGTTCCAAGAGCCTTGGCCCACCCTCTCCGGCAGTAAGATTAACCCCCCCCCCCCCCCTCAGCTCTCATACCTCACGGCAGCGTTATAAGATACTAGGATGGACAACAGTACCCTCATCCTTTTCTTGAAAGGGGCTAGTGGGGCGGGGACTAGCAGACAGTGGATGGTTTGAACTTGGAATTTCTTGGGCAACTCCTATGGGACACGGTTTCTCTCCGCTGTGTATTTGAAGAGCGTGTACAAGAAGCACCCGCAGCGTTTGGACAATATGATTCAGGCCTTAGCGGAAGAGCTTCGCAAGCTGTACTATGATGGGGTGGAGCTGGTTATTGGCGGCCAACGCGTCAGAATGTTTGTGGCAACGCTTGGGTTGAACGGCGATTGGCCGGTTCATGCAAAACTGGGGCAGCTGAATCGGCAAATCAGTCGAAAAGGCATACTCAAGCTGACAGACAAGTCTGGTATCTGTCACCTGTGCCGAGCAGGAGAAGTCAACTACCCAAAACATGACTACACCGCAAGGCCCGGAGATCAACACCCTAAACCCTAAACCCCTAAACCCCTAAACCCCTAAACCCCTAAACCCCTAAACCCCTAAACCCCTAAACCCTAAGCCTTAAACCCTAAACCCTAAACCCTAAACCCTAAACCCTAAACCCTAAACCCTAAACCCTAAACCCTAAACCCTAAACCCTAAACCCCTAAACCCCTAAACCCCTAAACCCTAAACCCCTAAAACCTAAACCCGAAACCCTAAACCCTAAACCCAAAACCCAAGACCCTAAACCCGTTTGGGGTTTGGGGTTTGGGGTTTAGGGTTTAGGATTCAGGGTTTAGCATTCAGGGTTCCTAGATTGGCCGCTTGGGTGAGACTGATTGCAGCCGAGGTCGCGAGCCGCCAGGAGGTCCGCACCTCAGCTTGAGTTTCCGGTCTAAACCCCCCACCTTCAACCCTAAACCCTAAACCCTAAACCCTAAACCCTAAACCCTAAACCCTAAACCCTAAACCCTAAACCCTAAACCCTAAACCCTAAACCCTAAACCCTAAACAACCCCTCACCCTGATCCCTTAGCCCTACGCCCTCCCCCTAACCTCAAAGCCCAAAAGCCCCCCAACAACCCTAGATCCCCCCAACCCCTAAACCCCAAATCTCCCGCAGCCCTAAACCAAGAAATCCCCCGAAACTCTAAGTCCCTTCAAATTCTAAAACCTAAATCCCCGAAGCCCCACGTAAACCCCAAGCCCTAGGCTATAAACGCCAGACGGCCTCAACCCTAAGCCCTATATCCTAAACCCCATCAGCTTGAATCCCCAAGTCTTAAACCCTAAACCCCATGAAACCCTAAGCCCTAAACCCTAAACCCCAAACCCCAAACGCCACAAGCCCCAAGCCCCAAGCACCTCTAAGCCCCAAGCCCTCACACCCTGGATGCGCGGGAGGCACGCCTCGCGCGCGTGCGCCAGCGCCGCGAGTCGGTGGAGGCGCTGAAGGCGCATCTCCAGCGGTTAGGGTTTCGGGTTTAGGGGTTTAGGGGTTTAGGGTTTAGGGTTTAGGGTTTCGGGTTTAGGGTTTAGGGTTCAGGGTTTAGGGGTTTAGGGGTTTAGGGGTTTAGGGGTTTAGGGGCTAGTCTTTCCTGAGGTGTTCGATTTCTTGTCGGCTGAGGTCATCGGTCGGTCTCCAGTCCCTCAATCTTGCTTTGCATTCAAGATGGCCGAAATGTGAGGGCTTAAGGACTATTCGTAGTCGAGGCCTTTTGAGTGGTCCAAGTACTTGGTTTAGGGTTTAGGGTTTAGGACTTAGAGTTCAGGGTTTGGGGGAAATTCCACGCTTTTTCTCAACCCTGCAAAGCCCAACCCCTAGAAGCCCAAAAAACCTAAATCCCTAAATCCCTAAATCCCTAAATCCCTAAATCCCTAAATCCCTAGATCCCTAAATCCCTAAACCCTAAACCCTAAACGCTAAACCCTAAACCCCAGAGCCTAAACCCATACGAGGCTCAGCCGGTGGACGGCCTCGTCATCGTTGCCGGTGACGACGACGCAGAGCTCGCTGCTGAGGCTCCGGTTCTAGTGCTGCTACACCACCACCAACGACGAAAGCAACAACATCAACATCAACTATTCCTCCTCCTCCTCCTCCCTAAACCCTAAACCCTAAACCCTAAACCCTAAACCCTAAACCCTAAACCCTAAACCCTAAACCCTAAACCCTAAACCCTAAACCCTAAACCCTAAACCCTAAACCCTAAACCCTAAAAACTAAACCCTAAACCCTAAACCCTAAACCCTAAACCCTAAACCCTAAACCCTAAACCCTAAACCCTAAACCCTAAACCCTGAACCCTGAACCCTGAACCCTGAACCCTGAACCCTAAACCCTAAACCGTAAACCCTAAACCCTTAACCCTTAACCCTTAACCCTAAACCCTAAACCCTAAACCCTAAACCCTAAACTGCTGCTGCTGCTGCTGCTGCTGCTGCTGCTGCTGCTGCTGCTGCTGCCGCCGCTGCCCGCCGCAAGGTGGTGGAGGTCGGCCTGGCGAACCTCGCCCCAAGCGGCCGCGTCGCGATGTGCGGAGCCCTGGTGCTCTCTGTAGCCCTAAACCCTAAACCCTAAACCCTAAACAACCCTGAACCCTGAACCCTGAACCCTAAACCCTAAACCCTAAACCCCAAACCTTAGGTTTAGAACTTGACGGGCTTTGGGTGGAAGATACAGAGTCGAGGGTGTAATTCTAGGATCACTGGGTGACCTAATGACCGTGTATCATTAGCTGAAATACAAGACTCAAACAGATAACAAATACTAACAAAAGCAAGCACTTGCATACGCAAACATATGCGTATAAGTATAGTATAAGTATAAACATACGTAAGTAAATACACAAAAATAGGTATATAGTATATACACACATACAGTCATCGGAAAGCGGACCTTGCAATGTAGATCGGCGAACGCCCCACTTAGGACATCAACTGGGACTCATCGAAGCATCCTATGGTCGGTTTGGGGTTTAGGGTTTAGGGTTTGGTGTTTAGGGTTTAGGGGTTTCGGGTTTTGGGTTTAGGGCTAGGGTCTCAGGCTTGAAGCTCCAGAGCTCCGATTTCTTAAGCCCTAAACCCTAGACCCTGAGCTGGAAAATCGAAGCTGGACTGCTGACCTGTCGCGGGTCTCAGCAGCCGACTGTAGTGGTCTAAACCCTAAACCCTAAACCCTAAACCCTAAACCCTAAACCCTAAACCCTAAACCCTAAACCCTAAACCCTAAACCCTAAACCCTAAAGCCGACACCCTGCACCCTAAACCCTCCACACTAAACCCTAAACCCTAAACCCTAAACCCTAAACCCTAAACCCTAAACCCTAAACCCTAAACCCTAAACCCTAAACCCTAAACCCTAAACCCTAAACCCTAAACCCTAAACCCTAACCTAAACCCTAAACCCTAAACCCTAAACCCTAAACCCTAAACCCTAAACCCTAAACCCTAAACCCTAAACCCTAAACCCTAAACCCTAAACCCTAAACCCTAAACCCTAAACCCTAAACCCTAAACCCAACCTCAACCCTAAACCCTAAATCTACACCCTTGGGGTTGCAAGGGCTTGCGGATCTGCGGTTTCGGCATCTGGGAAATCTTGTTGAGGAACGAAAAGCTAAGTTGTCATTCAAAGGTGTTGTATCCTAAGCCCTAAACCGTAAACCCTGAACCCTAAATCCCTGCTTGCTGAGCGACTCAGCAGGTTCGGCCATCACCTGCAGCAACTCGGACGAACAGATCCTAACACATGCGGGGGTTTAGGGTTTAGGGTTTAGGGTTTCGGGTTTCGGGTTTAGGGTTAGGGGTTTAGGGTTTCGGGTTTCGGGTTTAGGGGTTAGGGGTCGGGGGATGTCTGGACTTCTGGGGCGCTCTCGGGCCAACCTGGCTACCAAGGGTTCTACCGAAGGCCTCAAGCCTTATGTTGCAGAAGGTCAGCTGTGTAGGGTTTAGGGTTTAGGGTTTAGGGTTTAGGGTTTAGGGTTTAGGGTTTAGGGTTTAGGGTTTAGGGTTTAGGGTTTAGGGTTGGGCCCAGGTTTTTTTTTGCAAAGGTGTGGCTCGGGCCTGTCCCCTTGCACAGGTGTGGCTTGGCTTGGCTTGTCCCCTTGCAAAGGCGTGGCTTGGCTTGGCTTGGCTCTGCTTGGCCTGGCTCGTCTTGGCTTGGCTCGGCTTGGCTTTTCTCGGCTCGGCTTGGCTTGGCTCGCCTCGGCTTGCCTCGCTCGGCTGAAGTTGGCTTGCTTGGCACGGCCTCGGCCTGCTTGGCTCGCCTCGGATTGGCTTGGCTCGACTCTGCTCCGTGTTGAACCCGCTCTTTCGTGCGAAGCTTTCTTCAAAAGGCTGCCACCCATTTTAAGCCGTACAGTCTTTTTCAAACACATGATGCGAGCATTGTGTTTGCAAATGGGGGGGGGGGGCTGCGACTCCCCCAACCCCCCCGCTCTTTTTATACGCACAAAGCTTAGAAAGAACATGTTTTCTGAAACCCATCATGCGAGCATCGTGTTTGCAAATGGGGGAGGGACGTTTTAAGTCGTACGAACCCATCATGCGAGCATTGTGTTTGCAAATGGGGGGGGCTGCGCCCCCCCCAACCCCCCCGCGTTTTTTTAAGGCTGCCACCCATTTGAAGCCGTACAGTCTTTTTTCAAACGCACGATGCGAGCATTGTGTTTGCGCACAAAAGCTTTGAAAGAACATGTTGTTGTCTGAAACCCATCATGCGAGCATCGTGTTTGCAAATACCCATCATGCGAGCATTGCGTTTGCAAATGGGGGGGGGGGGGGGCGGGGCTGCGCACCCCCCCGACCACCCGCTTTTTTTATGGCTGCCACCCATTTTAAGCCGTACAGTCTTTTATCAAACGCATGATGCGAGCATTGTGTTTGGAAATGGGGGGGGCCCCCCCCAACCCCCCCGCTCTTTTTAGACGCACAAAAGTTTTGAAAGAACATGTTGTCTGAAACCAATGGGGGAGGGGGCTTTTACGTCGTGCGAACCCATCATGCGAGCATTGTGTTTGCAAATGGGGGGGGCTGCGCCCCCCCCCAACCCCCCTGCTTTTCTTAAGGCTGCCACCCATTCTAAGCCGTACAGTCTTTTTTCAAACGCATAATGCGATCATTGTGTCTGCCCCCCCCCCCCCCCCCAACCCCTCCGCTCTTTTTAGACGCACAAAAAGCTTTGAAAGAACATGTTGTTTGAAACCAAGCATGCGAGCATCGTGTTTGCAAATGCGGGGGCCTGCGGCCCCTCCCAACCCCCCTGCTTTTTTGAAGGCTGCCACTCATGTTATGCCGTACAGTCTTTTTCAAGCACATGATGTGAGCACTGTGTTTGCAAAACCTATTTTAAGCCGTACACTCTTTTTCAAGCACATGATACGAGCATTGTGTTTGCAAATGGGGCGGGGCTGCCCCCCCCCCCCCCCCCCCAACCCCTTGCTCTTTTTAGACGCACAAAAAGCTTTGAACGAACATTTTGTCTGAAACCCATCACGCGAGCATCGTGTTTGCAAATGGGGGAGGGGGTTTAAACTTGCTGCTATTTGCCGTCTTTGCAACCTTTGAAAACGCAGAAATGCTACTATTTGTACAGTATTTACAGCCTCTGCAAACTCGGAAATGCTGCTAGTTACAGTATTTGCAGCCTCTGAAAATGCAGAAATGCGGCTATTTACGGTATTTGCTGCCTCTGCAAACTCAGAAATGCTGCTAGCCACAGTATTTGCGACCTCTGGACACGCACAAATGCTGCCTTTACAGTGTTTGCAGCCCCTGACAACGCAGAAATGCCGCTATTTGCAGTAGTTGCAGGCTCTGGCAACCCACAGATGCTGTTATTTACAGTATTTGCAGCCTCTGCAAACGCAGAAATGCTGCAATTTACAGTCTTCGCAGCCCCGAACCGAGAACCAAGGCCGAGCCACACCTTTGCAAGGAAACATGGCCGAGCCACACCTTTGCAAAACAAAAGCCCTTCCGCCGGTTGCTGTTGGTTCATCAAATTCTCTTTGATTGTGTTTAAGAGGATCTAACAAACATGAGCGCATTCTCCCACAGGATCTCAGTTAGAAAAAGACTTCTGGGATACTGCACGTGCATTCATAGGAATACGTAAAGACACCAAAGGCGAAGACAGTTCGCCACAACACTACTTGGAAGCTCTCTTGACTTGGTAAGTCTACTTCGTATCCCCTAGAAACCCCATAATAATCCCCACAACCCACCTTACGAACTTGCCACGTCAAAAGGGTTTCCAAGTACGACTGGCAGTTGGAGTTGATCACACGCGGGCTTTCTTCCAGCGCAAGGGAGCCGTATGGTCCTAGAATACAATAAAAACATGCTGAATCCAAAGCCCCAAGCTTTCAAACCCCCTCCCACGCACGCCCTGAATCCTAACCCCCGGCCCCCTTGTGTGTCATACCCTAGACCCTGAACCCCTAAGCCCGAAACCCGAAACCCTGAACCCTGAGCCCCTAAAAACACAAGCCATGGCAAACCCTCACCCCTAAACCCTAAACCCTAAACCCTAACCCTAAACCCTAAACCCTAAACCCTGGATCCCGAAGCCTGTAGGTCTACATCCCGACATTCCCCTGAACCTGCACCCAGGTCATGTCGAACCCCTACGCCCCTAAACCCTAAACCCTAAACCCTAAACCCTAAATCCCTATATGTATATATATATATAATTTTATGTATAGACTTCACCCCTAAACCCACGATCTTCAGCCCCAAAATCCCAAACTCAGACATCCCTAAAGCCCGAAACCCCTAAACCCAAAACCCCAAACCCTAAACCCCACCACCCCCAAAAAAGCTGAGCAACCCTATACGTCTAAACAAACATAAACACCTCCCCCCCCCCCCCAAGAGAAAAAACACAACAAAGAAATCAACAAATCATAAAAATAATAATGAAAGCGAAAAAGCCGTCAACAAAGCCTAACAAGCCTTAAAAACTTTAAATACTCTTTCACAAACAGAAAGAAGCCCTCCAGACAAAACTTTGAGGCCGCTTGCAGCTCTGCAGGGCACCTGGCGCAACTCGGGCAGCTTCGTGGACGCCGCTGGGCCCAGAATTACGGGGGTTTAGGGTTTAGGCTTTAGGGTCTAGGGTTTAGGGTTTCGGGTTTAGGGTTTAGGGTTTAGGGTTTCGGGGTTGGCCCTACTGAAATCCTAAACCCTAAACTTGATTAAGGGGCTTCGGACTGGAGGATGTTTAAGCTTCAGGAGTTGGGATATAAGGGTTTAGAAGGTTTGGTGTTTAAGGTTTAGGGTGTAGGGTTTAGGGGTTTAGAGCGAGAGGTTGAGGGGTTTGGGGCGGGTGAGGGTTTGAGAATTTTTTGGGTGTCGAAGGTTCAGCTTATGTAGGGTTTAGGGCCTGAGGGCCTGTAGGGCTTTCGGTATTGAGGTTTTGGGGCTTGCCTTTCGGGATTAGGGCTCAGGGCTTTTGGGGTTTCGGGCGTTTGGGGCGCAAACACATGTTTATGGGGTGAGGGCGCTGTTGGGCTTTGCATGTCACTGGTTGACGGCTGACAGGGTAGTTTGGGGCTTGCGATCCCTAAGCCTACGACCGAACCTGCAAACCTTAAGCTTTAAGCGCTAAGCCCTAACCCTAAACCCCAAACCCTAAACCCTCAACCCCGAGCCCTAAACCCTAAACCCCAAACTCTAAACCCTAAACCCCAAACCCCAAACCCTAAACCCCAAAGCCGCAGGTCCGGCTGGAGCAGCTCTTCACCCGCGAATACCAGGCTCCGGTCGAGGGTTGTCCTCAATGCGCCTCAGACACTGAACTGTAGGGTTCAGTGTTTCGTTTTCGGGTTTAGTGTTAAGGGTTTAGGGTCTAGGGTTTAGGGTTTCGGGTTTAGGGTTTCGGGATTGCTGGGAGCCGGGTTTGGGGTATAGGGTGCAGGGCGTAGGGTTTAGGGTCTCATGACTTAGGGTGGCTCGGTGCCACGCGCTTGAGAGTCCGGCACATGCCTGCCTGTACCCAAAGACACCCAGGGTTTAGGGTTTAGGGTTCAGGGTTCAGGGTTCAGGGTTTAGGGTTTAGGGTTTAGGGCAATAGCACCCGGAGTAGGCCCTTATGTCCTTTTTGTAGGGTTGGGGTTCCCTTATCATCCCCTTAAAACCAAAAAGGGTACCTTTTTTGTATCCCTAGGTTACTCCTGGGTCTAGCCCCCTTTTCAGAAGCCCAAATCCCCAGAAGCCCGTCAAGCCCTAAACCCCCAAGCCCTACGTAGACCCTACACCCTCGAGCTCCTAAACCCTAAACCCTAAACCCTAGATCCTAAACCCGAAACCCTAGACCCTAAACCCCAGACCCTAAACCCTAAACCCTAAACCCTCAACCCTAAACCCTAAACCCTAGTTATACGCAGGTTCTACCTGCGCGGACACATCCGCACATGGCCACGGCCCCAGACACTCCCGGAAGCCGAAGCTCGAACCTTGAAGCCCTAAATCCAAAATCGTCCGTTAGGGTTTAGGGTTTAGGGTCTAAGGTTTAGGGTTTAGGGTTTAGGGTTTTGGGGTTTCGGGTTTAGGGTTTAGGGCACACTGTCAATCCTACACCCTAAATCCGCAACCCTAAACCCTACAAAACCCTAAGCCACAACCCCACATCCTCGGCATACCACTTTTCCCAAACCCCAACAACCCTCTGATCCTAAACCCCGAACCCCTAAACCCCTAACCCCAAAACCTAAAACCTAAACCCTAAACCCTAAACCCCAAAACCCCAAAACCCCAAACCCTAAAAACCTAAAACCCTAAGCCGCAAGTTGGCCTTCAAGGGTCTGTGCAGAGGGCTTTGTTGTCAGGGTGAAACCCCAAAAAGCCCCAATTTGGAGGTTTTGGGTTTTGGGCTTTTGGTTTTAGGGTTTAGGGTTAGGGTTTTGGTTTTAGGGTTTTAGGGTTTTAGGGTTTTAGGGTTTAGGGTTTAGGGTTTAGGGTTTAGGGTTTAGGGTTTAGGGTTTAGGGTTTAGGGTTTGGGGTTTAGGGCAAAAATATCACTCTCTACCTTACACCTACTTCCTAAGTCTCCGAGCCAAGCCTCTGTGGCAGAGGTGGCCGAGGCGCAGCTGTGTGAGGGCTACATCCTCAGCGCCAGCAAGGCCCTGGTACCCTAAACCCTAAACCCTAAACCCTAAACCCTAAACCCTAAACCCTAAACCCTAAACCCTAAACCCTAAACCCTAAACCCTAAACCCTAAACCGCAGCTCCTGGAAAAGGGGGGCTGTTGAAGGCAGCACAATGAGAATGGTTTGATGGCCAATCAACGCTAGCTCGAGTTCGCTTCCTGTGTGCAACGTCCTGCATTCTGTGCTTCATCCAGAGCAGTGGGGGCTGTTCTTCTTGATGTGGGGGAGTCCAAAAGCGGCATTCTCCAGCCCTCCTCCCAATCCTCCCAACAAGGAACAAAACCCCAAGTCCTGAACCTTTAAGCACAAGCACCCTAAAAACCCTAAACACCCTAAGTACACCAACCACCCTAAACGGCCTTAACCCCCTGAACGCCCCATCCCCCCCAAATCCTGAACTCTAAACCCAAACCCTAAGCCCCAAACCCTAAACCCCAAACCCCAAACCCCAAACCCTAAACCCTAAACCCTAAACCCTAAACCCTAAACCCTAAACCCTAAACCCTAAACCCTAAACCCTAAACCCTAAACCCTAAACCCTAAACCCTAAACCCTAAACCCTACACCCTAAACCCCTAAACCCCTAAACCCTAAACCCCTAAACCCCAGCTCCGGACCTCTGAAGCGGAGTGCCGGCGCAGGTGGCAGAGGAGCCGTTCTCAGACTCGCTCGACTTGGTTGTTAAGGGCTTATGGGGTTCACAGGGTTCACAGGGTTCACAGGGTTCACAGGGTTCATAGGGTTCACAGGGTTCACAGGGTGCATAGGGTTCACAGGGTTCATAGGGCTTAGGGTTTGGGGTTTAGGGCTTAGGGTTTGGGGTCTAGGGTTTAGGGTTTTAGGGCTTTGGGGCTTTGGGTTCAGGATTCAGGGTTTAGGGTTTAGGTTTTGGTGAGGGGTCAGCTTTCAGTGTATTTCAGAGCTTAGAGGTTAGACTGAGATTGCGTTGAGTTCGCTGATTTCGGGTTCAGGCCGAGCATAGTGGTGGTGGCGGCTTGGAGAAACTTTTCGGGGGTTGGCTCAGGCCCTCAGGACTTGTCAAGGTAGCCGAAGCCCCGGAAACTGCCGAAAAACACCGAAAACCTGACAATTTGCCCCAACACCTTGTCAGGTGAGGTTTGGGGTTTAGGGGTTTTCAGTTCCAAACCCACCTCCCTCCCATCCCATCCCGAAAACAAACGCAACAGCCCCAAACCCCGAACCCCAAACCCTAAACGCCATGAAACCCTAACCCCTAAACCTCAAACCCTCAACTCCAAACCCCAAACCACAAACCCCAAACCCCAAACCCTGAACCCTGAACCCTAAACCCCAAGCCCCAAACCCTAAGCCCTGAACCCCAAACCCCAAACCCTAAACCCTGAATCCCAATCCCCAAACCCCAAACCCTAAACCCCAAACCCTGAACCCCAAACCCTAAACCCTAAGCCTTAAGTTCTGCATCCTAAACCCCAAACCCTAGCCCTAAACTCTCAACCCCAAACCCCAAACCCCAAACCCCAAACCCCAAACCCCAAACCCCAAACCCCAAACCCTAAACCCTAAACCCTAAACCCTAAACCCTAAACCCTAAACCCTAAACCCTAAACCCTAAACCCCAAACCCTAAACCCTAAACCCTAAACCCTACTCATCGGAGGGCGACGGAGGCCAGGAGCCTGCGCCCTGAGCTCGGCCTCTTCCTCCTGGCCCTGAGTTTAGGTTTTTGTGTTTGGGGTTTAGGGTTAGGGTTTAGGGTTTAGGGTTTAGGGTTTAGGGTTTAGGGTTTAGGGTTTAGGGTTTAGGGTTTAGGGTTTAGGGTTTAGGGTTTAGGGTTTAGGGTTTAGGGTTTAGGGTTTAGGGTTTAGGGTTTAGGGTTTCGGGTTAGGGTTTAGGGTTTAGGGTTTAGGGTTTAGGGTTTAGGGTTTAGGGTTTAGGGTTTAGGGTTTAGGGTTTAGGGTTTAGGGTTTAGGGTTTAGGGTTTAGGGTTTAGGGTTTAGGGTCTGTAGAGGGGGAGACAAGGTACCTAACTCCAGCATTTCTTTCTAAGACCCATTAGGCGAAACTCGCGTTTCTGGGAGGGGGAGGGGAATGACCTTTGGAGTCTAGGGCTCCTTTCAACCTTCAGTTCCGAAGTTCTGCCTGAGTTGCGGGCACACCGAGTTCACATCATGATTCCCTTCGGGAAGACAGGCAGAGAAGCAAGCCACCCTAAACCCTAAACCCTAAACCCTAAACCCTAAACCCTAGACCCTAAACCCCAAACCCTAAACCCTAAGCCCTAAACCCTAAACCCTAAACTCCGAACCCTAAACCCTAAACCCTAAACCCTAAACCCTAAACCCTATACCCAAGACCGGACGATGGTCAAGCAGCGGAAAGGCCTAAGCCCTAAACCCAACATCCTCACACCCCTGAGGCTCAAAAGACAGAGGACTGCGTGACACCGGCAGAAAGGCTGCGAAAACAGCCGCAAAAAAGAGGGAGGGTTCAGGGTTCAGGGTTTAGTGTGTAGGGTATTTAGGGTTTAGGGTTTTTGGGTTTAGGCTTCAGTGTCAAGTCGACTCTGGTTTTGGTTTGGGGTTTCCGTTGCACCTAAACCCTAAACCCTAAACCCTAAACCCTAAACCCTAAACCCTAAACCCTAAACCCTAAACCCTAAACCCTAAACCCTAAACCCTAAACCCTAAACCCTAAATTCTAAACCCTAAACCCTAAACCCTAAACCCTAGACCCTAAACCCTAGACCCTAAACCCTAAACCCTAAACCCTCCGTAACCCTAAGCTCCAAACCTATCCTTCCCTAAAGTTGGTGGTTGGTGCTGAGGAAGGGGAGTACACTCTACAGTACGCCGGGGCACCGGCGAACCCTCTTCCACAACAGGTGATTCTGCAACAGTTTCAGTAAAGGGTTTTCGGGTTTAGGGTTTACGGTTGACACACGCGCACAATCGTTCTCCAGCAGGCTGTCCTCCTGTTACAACGTTCCACACCTTTTGCCACGACAATCACACCGAAACTGCGATTCTGTAGATTTCCTGTATGCTAACCCACGCGACATGCATGAGAATAATTAGCCTTACAATCACTAATTGGTAATTGTCTAAAAAAACTCGGCACGCATCAAAAGCATGGGGGCATTTGCCTTAGTCAGGCGTTTGAAGTACAAGCCGACCCCAGTAAATTCACAAACTACCGTACAAAACGGATCACTGAGATGATGATGATGATGATGATGATGATGACGATGATGATGATGCTGATGCTGATGATGATGATTTTCTACTAATTGCTTCAGAACCCCGAAAAAATCTTCCTCATTGAGTTCCTCATTGATGGCAATATAGGGATCATGAGCTCTTTTTTGCATTCTTTTGGGGTTCTTAAGCAAATAGTAGTGTTTTGGGGAGCTGGATGTGGAGTTAGTGACTTCTGATTAGTGTGAGGAGATGTATCGATTGTTTTTGGTTGTGTGTATGGGAGGATGTGTGAAACATAAAAAAAGTAAATACATGGAAAATCAATAATAACAATACTAATAATAATCATAATAATTATAAGTACTAATCGAAGTTAGAAAAAAAAACTAAACACCTCGAGTCCACCATCCTTCCGAAGCCCCAAAACCCTAAACCCTCAGCCCTAAGCCCTACCCCCTAAGCCCTAAACCCTCAGCCGCTGAGGTGCTCGCAAAGGCGTTTAGAGGGTTTAGGGTTTAGGGTTTAGGGTTTAGGGTTTAGGGTTTAGGGTTTAGGGTTTAGGGTTTAGGGTTTCAGGGGTTAAGGGGAGTTTGGGGGGTTTAGGGGGTTTAGGTTTGGGGTCAGGAATGACTGCCGTGATCCTAATGAACCTTCGTGTTGCCTTAAACCTTAAGCCTGGAACAAGGATTCGAAATCCCGTTTGCGCAACATGTTGGCTCACAGACGGCAGCGAGCATTCACCTGCAAAAGCTTGACAGCTCACCCCAACCCAGCCCTAAGAGATAGAACCTTACCTGAAGCCCTCCCGAAAACCCTGAACCCCTAAACAAGCCGCTAAACCCTACAAGCCCTAAGTCCTGCAACACCTCATAACCCCCTGGACCCTAAATCCTAAACCCTAAACCCCCTAAACCTTACACCTTACGACCCCGGCGAATTGCCCATGAGGGCAAAGTCCACCAGTAAACCTGTGAGCCCACGCGCTGCCACAGGGAAAGCATTAAATGGGTTTAGGGTTTAGGGCCTAGGGTTTAGGAAGCAGGAGACACCACCCTGAACCGGAAAGCCACTCAACAGTCCCTCCCTGACAAGCTCCGTAGCACCCCTGGGCAGCATGTAAGCTTCTTCCCCCTGCGGCGCGAAGAGGGCCAGGAAGCGGGCACGTCATTTCGGGGCTTCGGGCAGCCGCCCTAATTCCTAAACCCTACACCCCAAACCCCAAACCCCAAACCCTAAACCTCTAAACCCCAAACCCTGAACCCTAAACCCCAAGCTCTAAACCCTGAACCCTAAACCCTTCTAGGGGGTGTGTTGAAGCCTTGTACAACCACTGCCACCTCGGAAGTTGTCTTCGGGGGTGTGGTTTGCGGTTTAGGGTTTGGGGTTTTGGAGGGTTAGGGTTTAGGTTTAGGAGGTTTAGGGTTTGTTCTGATTTAGAGGTGTTAGGAGGCTTAGGGTTTAGGTTTAGGAGGGTTTAGGGTTCAGGGTATAGGGTTTAGGGTTTAGGAGGGTCGCGGTTTAGGATCGCTTAGGGTTTAGTGTGTGGCTGGTGGCGGAGGGGGGAGGTTCAAGAGTTTATGGTTCTGTATCGGGTGGTAGTACGAACGAAGGTGCGCCCTTAGCAACCCCCTGAACCACCAAAGAAACCCGAAACCCCGGACCCTAAAAGCCCGAAACCCTGGACCCCAAAACCCTGTACGAACCCTGTAAGCCCTAAAGCGCTTCAACCCTAAGCCCTATCAACCTCCAACCCGAAATCCCTATCAACTATCAACCCTAAACCCTGAACCCTGAACCCTAAACCCTAAACCCTAAACCCTAAACCCTAAACCCTAAACCCCAAACCCCAAGACCTATACCGAAAAAAAACAGGACGACAATGGATGACGAGGCAAAGGTCGTTGACGACATGAGCCCCACGGGTCGGGGGCCCTGGTCGAGTTGGATGGGGGAGCTCCAGGGGTTTTGGGGGTTTAGGGTTTAGGGTTTAGGGTTTAGGGTTTAGGGTTTAGGGTTTAGGGTTTAGGGTTTAGGGTTTAGGGTTTAGGGGCTGCAGAGGTTTTAGGGGTTTCGGTTTCTGGTTCAGGGTTCAGGGGAGGGGGTTTCGGGGGTTTGGGGTTTAGGGGTTTAGTGTTTGTTTTTTGGGTTTCTTGTTTTGGGGTTTAGGGGTGTTATTGGCTTAGAGTTCTATTGTTTCAGGTTTCAGGAGCTTTAGGGACTTCATGGGCTTTAGGCGCCTTAGGGGCTTCATCCCTAAACCCTAAACCCTAAACCCTAAACCCTAAACCCTAAACCCTAAACCCTAAACCCTAAACCCCAAGCCCTAAACCCTTAACCCTAAACCCTAAACCCTCAGCCCCAAACCCCTAACCCCTAGACTTGGGATGTGCCTCCTAGAAAAAGAGCAGTCCTCAATCGGGATTCTAATCGGGGGTACCGGGGTACCACAATCCCGATTAAGGACTGCTAGTATAGGGGGCAACATCCCCAGACCCTAAACCCTAAACCCTAAACCCTAAACCCTAAACCCTAAAGCCTAAACCCTAAACCCTAAACCCTAAACCCTAAAGCCTAAACTTTCGGAAACCCCGAAACCCTAAACCCCAAGTCCCTAAACCCTAGACCCTGAATCCCTAAACTTCGCCGACCTTGAGGCCGCTCGGATTTCTTCTCCCCTCGCCGGGCGCGCGCGGGCCTGAGGAGTTGAACGGTTGAGGGAGTTGAGGGAGTTGAGGGAGTTGAGGGAGTTGAGGGAGTTGAGGGAGTTGAGGGAGTTGAGGGAGTTGAGGGAGTTGAGGGAGTTGAGGGAGTTTAGTGGGTTAGTTTAGGGGGTTTAGGGTTTGGGGTTAGCGTCGCCTCCCCCCCCCCCCAAAAAAAAAAAAAAAGCCTTTAAGTCTTAGATTCCTAAACCCTTCAAGGGATTAAGACTCGCACCCCTAAGGTTGTACCCCTGAACGTTCCCCTTAGTACACTCCTAAGATGGCCCTTATACTACCTTAAGGACAACCTTAAGGGTCCCAGGTACAACCCCTAACCCTAAACCCCTAACCCTAAACCCTAAACCCTAAACCCTAAACCCTAAACCCTAAACCCTAAACCCTAAACCCTAAACCCTAAACCCGAATTTCATTTAACTGCCTCGGGTTTTCAGATTTCAGGTCCGAGCAACAAGCCCCGACTGGCCCGGCTGCCAACCTGACACGCCTCAACCTCCAAGCCCTAAACCCTAAACCCTAAACCCTAAACCCTAAACCTTAAACCCTAAACCCCAAACCCCAAACCCTAAACCCTAAACGCCTCTAAACCCAGGCAAGCCAATGCTCTTGCTGCATCTGGACATCAACAAGTGGCGTCCTGAGGGGCACTTCTATGCCCTCAGGCCCTGTAGTTCCGGGGTTTAGGTAACCCTAAACCCTATGCCCTAAGCCCTAAGCCCTAAGCCCTAAGCCCCTGTAAGCCCTAAGCCCTAAGCCCTAAGCCCTAAGCCCTAAGCCCTAAGCCCTAAGCCCTAAGCCCTAAGCCCTAAGCCCTAAGCCCTAAGCCCTAAGCCCTAAGCCCTAAGCCCTAGCACCTCGAAGTCATTTAAAAAGGCCGCCGTACTCCATATAGGACCCCCACAAGCGACCCCAACCTAGATTATTGGGTTCTAGTTCTCAAGGGAGGGGTTTACGATTCAGGGTTTAGGGTTTAGGGTTTAGGGTTGGGGTTTAGGGTTTAGGGTTTAGGGTTTAGGGTTTAGGGTTTAGGGTTTAGGGTTTAGGGTTTAGGGTTAGGTTTAGGGTTTAGGGTTTAGGGTTTAGGGTTTAGGGTTTAGGGTTTAGGGTTTAGGGTTTAGGGTTTAGGGTTTAGGGTTTAGGGTTTAGGGTTTAGGGTTGGGGTTTGGGGTTCAAAGGGGGTAGGTACCTAGAGAACCTTAGGGAAGCTTCGGGAGCCCTAGGGAGTAGTGGGGAGCATTAGGGAACCTCTGGGTTACCTACCCCCCCTTGAACCCCCCTCCCTTATCAACCCTAGATTTTGAGAACCGACCCTAAACCCTAAACCCTAAACCCTAAACCCTAAACCCTAAACCTTAAACCCCTGATTTTGAGAACCGACCCCAGTAAGCTTAAGACTCTCGAAGACCGACCACGGGGATTGATGTTGCCTTCACATCAATGGGGGTGAGGCTTTGGCTTTGGGGTGCAGGGTTGAGTTTTTGGCAGAAGGGTTTGAGGGTTTGGGACTTCAGGTAGGCTAGGCTTTCA